GTGGATGTTGAGTAGTGGACATTTAAATATGCTTCACAATTAAAATAAGAAAAGTCAAAACAGCCGGGATGCGACAAAAAAAATAGGAAAAGAGACGATGGTTTTCGGGGTATCCTTCAACAAGGTAGTCGGTGGATACAATCAAAACCAAGATCATAGTGGGTTGGTACATCTGGTGCGATTATGGCCCGATTGTTGGCAACATCCACACTTATTCGGCACAGCTTTCTTGTTCCTCGCGACCTACAAAATAGGAAACACAAAAAATATTTTCAATCACGTCCATGTCTTGGCATCCATAAACAACTGTATAAAAGGGATGTTCGAATATAGTGGACGGACTTACTGGGAACTCTCCTGTGGATGCGTGACGGTTTACTTTGGATCTGCCAGAAGGTCTTCTGGTTCTCGGCGGCATTAATAACATCTTGGCAACGGAGTCCAGGATTTCTTGGTCTGCGGCTTTGCCTCCGGGGATGATAGTGCCAGTGTATGTGGCAGCCCATGTGGCCGTTTTTAACGCATCACCAACCAACGAAGTGGGAGACAATCCGAAAGTGTCTGCGGCCAGTAACGCGTAACCGCAGGGGATCTTGAGGCAATCGAATTTCTTACACGAGCATCGCTTCTCGTGCAACCAAACGTGGTTGGTGTCCCCGAACGGCCAATAACTTGACAGCTCCAGCTGTATACAGCGTTGATCTTGCTGCCTTTTGACTCTTTCATCTGCTCCGTTATTACCTTGTCCACCTCTGGGGGAACGTTACCTCGATGCCTCAGTGACTCTTCCTACGAGCAGCAAACCATCTAGTCATCATCTCCTGGATGAATTGGACGAGTTCAACAATCGAGGACCCCCTTCCCTCGATCAATGCATTGTTGAGTTGTTCCGCCGCGTTGCTAGTCATTAGATTGTACCGCTGCCCCTGAAAATATGCTCGTGACCAATGGGCGATGCCAATTTTCTCCAAGTACAGCGAGCATTCACTCTTACTGGCTCTGACCTGGTCGAAGAACTTCCTGAAATCACAGATCCTCCAAGTGAATGCTGCTTGACCAACGAGTTTCCCTAGTCCTTTGCTGTGGAATCGGGCAGAGACGTTTCGCTCCAGGTGAACTATACAGACACCGTGTTTTGCTAGAGGGTAGACCCGTGACTTGGCTTTATATATCGAGTGATGTCTATCCGATATTATTGTGAGATTGGGATTGTCGGCCAGAATTTTTTCCAGCTTCTGAAGGAACCATGTCCAAGACTCGTCGTTCTCGGAATCTACAACCCCAAACGTGAGAGGGAAGACCTGGAAATTAGCGTCTTGGCCACAGGCGGTCAGAAGAACTCCCTTAAATTTGCCTGTCAGATGAGTCTCGTCTATGACGACGACATGCCTGAGTTTACGAAAACCAGTAATGGAGGCACCAAAAGCAAGAAAAAGATAGTGGAAGCGCTCGACTTCAAACTCATCAACTACGGTCTTCAAATTCACCACAGAGCCCGGATTCGCCAATTTTAACATATATAGATACTTTGGAAGGGCAGTATAGGACGCATCATCAGAACTCCTGATTTCGGTGATGGCTATTTCCTTGGCGCGGTGACATTTCATGTAGGAAGCAGAGCAACGAAGCTCTTCGAGCGCCAGTCTCTGAATCTCCGATGCTCGGGGTCCATTAGCAGGATCGCCGAATTTGGCTTTGAAAACTGCAGCTATAACTCTTGATGAAACCTTTTTCTTAAAGGCATTTCGAGTGTCCACGCAACAGGTGTGTTCCAGCTAGGCCTTCCTGATTTCGTAGTATCCACAGTCTTTCATCTCGTGGGCCATAACCCTCCAGTCGCACGCACTTGACAACAAAATAGTGTCTTTTTGTGGGGTATTGTTTATACTGAAACTGGCCCTTGATTGCATACAAGGCTAGGGTATTCCTACAGTCCGATTTGCTAGCATAGATCTTACCTTCATGGACTTATGCTTCGCCGTCTGCCGCACCTAGATCAGGGATTTCTGCAGAGTGGTAAGCTGTGTCGTCAAATATAGGTGGAATATCGAAGTCCTCATCATCCACATCCTTTACCATTTTTGGACGTCGAACTGGCCTGCCATCCATTACTTTCGGGACACCATACCCCGTCCACGTAGATCCATTGATGACGGTCTCAACCTTTGGATAAGCATCGACGTGGGTGCCCTCGGGTACGACTTTGTGGTCGAAAGCATCATTTGTGGTACAGAAGTACTCTCCCTTCATGTCGTTCTCGATTTTCTTCCCATTAAGATCATCGCGCTCTGGATAGAGTACGTCGAAGGCGTCGGTTCTGGCAAGGGGATCGTCGATGATGTGCTCCCAAAACTCTTTGTCGTAGCCAGCTTCACGAACTTCAACATCAGATGGAACCTCACGGCAATCGTCTTCTGAGTCTGATAGTGTTGTCTCTTCGCTGCTGCAACGGCTCTGTTTACGGGTGCTGCCCTCTGCCCACTTAGCCTCCGCTTCCTGAACGTGGCTAAGAATATCTTCATCTTCGCAGTATACAGGCAGGTTCTTCGACCCAATCGATGAACCGTAACCACCTCCTTCTTCGAAACCAGAACCACTCCTTGTTGGCTCGTTGAGGGTTTGGAAGACATTTCGCCTCTTCTTCGGTTGAGCTGGTGTGATGTAATCGGCTTCGGAAGAGAAAGACACAAACATGTTCATTCTCCTGTCTGCGCGGTGGTGTCTGAAAAAGAAGCTTATGGCCCCTATATTTGTAACCAGCACCGGCGGTGTAGTTTTCCCGGTCGCCAGCTCCATGCTGTTTAGTGGCCAGTAACTAAGGGAAGGGGAAACGGCGACGACTCCCTCACCGTAGAATTCTCTAAGAACCCTCTCCTTTAACTCAACTAAACCTATATGCTCACTCATTTAGACTACTCTCGAATCATCTGCTTGTCAATAACGAAATCCCACTTACCGTCATCTCTACAGATCCATTCGCCGCACATGACCAAGCAATGTTCGTCCATCTGGATGGAAATTTTGGCAAGGAGAAACTGAGAGACGAGGGTTTTGGGGGTACATTTACGAGGCCGCGCCAAAGTATGGCCGTTTACCCTAGCCACGGCACGAATGCCCATGGCACGAAAATCTATCAAGGAGACCGCCACCGTCGGATGGAGTTCAAATTTTTCAAAAAGGGGATCGGGTGGACGAGATTTGTAGTTATCCAAAATAGCCTACGGACCGCGGGATATTAGGCAGCATTAGCTATCAAAGATTGGTTTTTTTTTTATGCATTTAACTTTGAAAATAGCCTACTGACCGCGGGTTATTAAGATGTATTTGAAAAATTTATTTTGAAACTTTGAAATTTGAACCAAGCTCGAAGTCCGCAGGATGAGTTTGTATATAGATGGGGGAGAATAGACACGATGAAGTGGATGACACGAATATGGACTTTGGGCACTTAGTGGATAACTATTGTTGACTAAAAACGGAATATAAAATATACATGATGAGGCGGCGGTGTAATAGTGTGGTAATTGGTTGACTTTATATTCTAGTTTTGTTTTAAGAAAAAATCATTTTTCATCCATTGTTGTATATCCATAGGGTTATGTCTGTGGTAGTTAATCATTCATGTTGAGTCATCCCTTTTCAAGCATCCATATGTTCCCGTCCAATAAGTGCCATTTTTGCGAGGGGTGATTTGGTACCGTATTGAGTTATCCTTGTCTTGTCTTCCATTGCGTGTTATCCATGATTGCAACCTTTGTACATGATGAGGCGGCGGTGTAATAATGTGCTAATTGGTTGACTTTATATTCTAGTTTTGTTTTAAGAAGAAATCATTTTTCATCCATTGTTGTATATCCATAGGGTTATGTCCGTGGTAGTTAATCATCCATGTTGAGTCATCCCTTTTCAAGCATCCATACGTTCCCCGTCCAATAAGTGCCATCTTTGCGAGGGGTGATTTGGTACCGTATTGAGTTATCCATGTCTCGTCGTCCATTGCGTGTTATCCATGATTGTAACCTTTGTAGACATCGCTGTTATATTGCTGCAGTTGACTCTTTGTAAAATTTGGTGCCGGTGGGATTACATATCAGGTGAATGCTGTCGACGGCAATCTGGGGCGATCCTTGTGTGAAGTACCAAATCATACACATACAAGCAAAGAGATATGACTTGTCGAAATTAGATGGGGTGGAATGTGATCTAGATCTCGAAGAAGGAGGTTGACGGCAGCAACTAGAACTCCAAGGTCGTCGAAGAAGGGGGTTGCCGGCATCTAGATCTCGAAGATGGTGGCATCTAGATCTCGAAGATGGATGAGTGTGAGAAAACCGTCGAAGAAAAAGGTTGCCAGTGTAGTCGTCGATGAAGGAGATTGCCGGCGTGGTCGTCGATGAAGGAGTAAAAAAAAAAGTTGTTATCGATTGAGATGAAAAAAAAAAAGAATAAAGATAAAGGGTAATATGGGAAAATCAAGTAAATTAATTCAAATGAGAAACAAAGCAAAATACTCCTGTTGACAGAAGTATTTTTTCTGATATTATAGTTCTTATAAGTGCTCTATTATGTAATACTAGGTGATAATCCGCGTGTACACGCGGGTATTTATTTTATTATATAATTTTAAAAATTTAATTAATATAATATTTTAAATAACTATATATTTATTTGGTAATAATTTATTTTTATGTTTATTATTTTTTTTACTTTCAAATATTATACTCTCTCTGTTTCAAAATAAGTGTCATTTTGATATTTTTTACATAAATTAAGAAAGTTAACAAAAAGTCTTTTCTATCCCTAATAAATACACTAAATAATTCTCTATTTCTAATTAATACACTAAAGTAACAAAGTTAAAACTGGATATTTTGTTATAAATTTACATTGGAAATCTAAAACTGACACTCTTTGTGAAACAAAAACAAAATTCTAAAATAACACTCTTTATGAAACAGATGGAGTAAATGTTTTTTTGGTTTTTAGATGTCTGTCAAAAACTAAATAGCATAAATATTTTGTTTCTTTTTAAAACAACCAAATAACTTTATTTTGTAAAAAAGAACTTCGAAATCTATAGCTCCAGTGAGTTAATACGTTTGGCTTGAAAATAAGAAGTGAACTGTGATTGTTATTCAAAATTAGAGATTGTTATTTTTGTTATAGTTTTTCTTATTACAATCATGAGTACAATTATGGGTACGTACCTGAAATAGCAGTGTCTTAATTGGCGTACATTGTTTATATTTCGTACTCTTCATATATTTAAATAGGATATTTGCTAAAATCATTCGTCACTAATACATTAAACCCAAAGCAGTTCCCCATGTATAGATGGAGAAACAATTTATTTGTTCAATGAATTTAGAAAAAGATGCCAAGCTTGTTCTGCTTGATAGCAAGACCAAAGAAAACTGTAAATCTATCATGCAAATACAGACATGCAGACAAATAATGGACTTGACAGCATAGTTAAATGACGTCTACCTCAAGCAGAGGAGTCAGTATGCTCGTCACCGGTTGCCATTCTAGACATCGTAAATGTACAAAAGATAATGGGTATCTTCTCTTGCATATCTGCAATGAAATAAAAAAAAAGTGAGATCAAATCAATTGATGCCAGAACAGTAGTGAAAAGATACAGGACAGAGAATAATTTGAAGACAAAGAGGCTTCCGTTGCTTCTTCAAAGTGGCGGGAACAATCTCTGATGGTAAGTCCTCAGAAAGTTAATGCCTTAGTTTGTGAGGAACCAGTAGTAATGCATCCAAGCAAATGTCTCGCACACGTATTCCTTTGATTTGAAGCTCTGCACAGTATTGCATCTTAGCGTAAAGCTTTGGCAGAGTGTATCCTACAAATTCAAACAAACATAATACATATCAACGACAATCTAAATCACAGAAACTCCAAATCCGTAAAACAAACAATATTCGATGAAGGATAAGAAATGAGAATCATTCATTCAACAACATACCTCGTAGACACTGGCTTCTTGAACATCTCTGATGGCTGCTTGCTCAACAATGTTCTTGACGATGCATCTCTCAATTGCCTTGTCCTAACAACAAATCAGATCATCTTGAACGATACAGATAAAAAATGGAATTTAGTAAAACGATTAAAAGGAGAGCGTACCGTGAGGCAGCATATCCCGAAGTTGGAACACCTGATGGGATCGACATGACCACGGCCCGATTTGTTACGGGCACCGTTCCTGCGATTGAATGTCTGCGAAAACAAACTCGAATTTTAATACAAATCTTGCTTTAAAACTTTCAAGATATCCGTCAGCTTTATTATATGCTCTAAACGATGAATCAATCAAAGAAGGAAAAGACTTGCCATGTTGCAGCAGAGAGCTTCGAGCATGTTGGGGGTAATGTGTTCTTCACGAAGACGAAGATAGCCTTGTCGGCACTTAGTTTGATTCTTTTGCGGACAATATACACAAACTGCCCCACTGTTAAATCCGTCGGCACAAGGTAAAAAGAAGGTTGCAGATCAATGGCGTTAGCAGATACAATGTTGTCAATAGATAAAGGAACGAAACATGAGAAGAAGAAGAAGTAACTCATAAGCTGCAAATTACTGACTTTTTCTTGTCGATAACGGGGACATCGCTTTTCTCAGCCTTCTCTACAATCACCTGCGATGCGCAAACTCTGTTTAAGCAGGAAAGAAACGCAGAGTTACCACTCGAGATGCAATGATGTGGAAAACAAAACTCTTACTGGGATTCTATCTGGGTACTTCTCTCTGATGCGAGAAGCCTCGGCTTGTCTCGTCTCTGACATTACAAAAAACACACCAAGAAGGAGACAAGTAATAGCATCTCTTCAAAGATGAATCTGATCTATCAGAGAATCTAATACGTTAATAACTAACAAGCTTAAACTACAGTTAATCGAAGAGTCATGGTTCCTGAGTGATTGAAGAGATTTGCTCACGCATGGCCAACGAAAACAGAACAGGGAGAATCTAATGGAGAAAACATGAAACTTACCTAGCGGGTGTTCCAATTCAAAACAGTAACATACTTTTAGATTTAACCATCAAAAGAGTCGAGAATCACAGCTCAAAACTCATGTTTTACCTTATGGACAAGCCTTCGGAATATACAGCCTTCGGAGATGAGTTCTTCCAATGCTTTATGTTGCTAACTAACTTCTTCGTCTCCCTGCAAACAAAATCCGCCCAGTCTCTTAAATCCCTAAATTAACCTAGTATTCAGTAATTTAGGGAGAAATTGCAGTGAAGAACACTTGAAAATGCATCTACCTTGAACGAAGGGGCTCGAAAGGGAGAGAAAGCTTCGGAGAATCGAAAGAGGAGCCATTGGGACTCGCGGAGACGAATCCAGCTGTAAACCTGAGAGAAGAAGCCGATGTGGAGACGCAGGCATGAGCCATTTCTTGTTCGATTTGGGTGGGATGAATGTAACCCTAATTCAGTCACCGGTGAGGAACTCCCCGGCTCTTATCCTTCCAAAGGATGTTGCGCCAAATTGAAATCCTTCTTCGCGAAGAGAACTCCCTCTGCACAAACAAATGAACACATTTTTTAAAAAAGTGAATCAATCAATGCCATCGTCTTCGATGTATAAACCCTTTTTCACGATGAAAACCAACGAGATTCAAAGCAGAAGGAAGCTCGAGAGAAGATGTTTACCTTTGAAGAGGTATTTGGAGATCTCGCGGCTATTTTTCTATGAACACAAATCCACCGTAACTGAGAGATTACTCAAAACTGCTAGGGTTCATTAGTCTCTCATCTTCTCTGGATTTCAACTAAACAATTTTTTCATAGGAAAAATAAGGGCGATTGAATTGTTGGAAGAGACGCTTCGGGATAAACTTTTTCGTTGTTTGACTGAAGTGATTAATGATTTTACGGGACTTTTTTTTCTTTTTTTTTTGCTGATGTGTCAGGGAGAGGGGTGCTGATGTATCATTCTCTTGTCAGATACAACTCACTTTTTATATAATAGACTAGTTGATGATCCATGCTACGCGCAGCTATGTGATTTATTTTTATATATTTTTTTTATTAACTTTGTTGTATCATATATTTTTAGGAATTTTAAGATGGCCTTCTATTTTTCATATATACATGTCTCGAATTTTTCATCTTTTTCAAATTTCTAGTTTGTGATCTAGTTTTTAAGATTGATTCCGTTTTTGTCGTGGTTTTTGGTGAAAAATATGAATGACGTATTACACACTTTCTTATCACTATTTCATAAAAAAATTAAGTTGTGGACGTTTGAGGAAAAATCATGAACCGAATTGTCTTGTTGCACAATATTTTCCATGCCTTTTTTGTAAAAGCCATTTCGAAATCATTTTTAAAAAATCACATGGATTAATTCCTAGTTTGTGATCTACGTAACACAGGGATTTAATTATCATTTTTTGTATTTTTTTATATTATTATATCATATATTTTTTGATATTTTATGATTGTTTATTTTTTTTCAATGTACTCATCTTTAATTTCTTGACCTATCTTAATTTTGATCAAATATTATCCATCCAAAATTATTTGGTTTATTCAACAAATAAGAAAAGAGAACATATATGAATGTATGATATTAGATATCCAAATTATCAATTTAAGAATTTTTTTTTTAATTAGAGAGTTTTTTAAAATTTCCGTATTTTTCCAAAAAAAAATTTTGAAGTTGACTTTCATCCAAATTATTGAGAATTTATGAATAGTTTTTAGATAATACATTCTCAAACCCATCTTATTACCCGAATTTCCTATTCCATAGGTTTCTTTTGGAAATTGTTTTCCGTCTTTCTAATTACCAACTCTCATTATACACTTTTAAATTTCTGGTTTTAATCTTGAAATACTCAAAACTAACGTATATCATTTTTTATTTTTATTTTGTATTTTGTTTCTTTTTTATTTTCTGACATCACTTTATAATTTAACGTTTTATGTTTGCTATTTTTTATATTGAATGTTAATGTTAATATTTATTATTTTCAGCTTTTCTAATTATCAATGTCTGTCACATACTTGTAAATTTCGGTCTTGAATCTTAAAACAGTCAGAGCTAATGTATATAATTATCTATTGGTTTCTATATTGTTAATTTTTTTTTCCTGACAACACATTATAATTTTTTTATATTGAATATTAATATTAATTTTTATTATTTTCTATCTTTCTAATTATCAATTTCTTTTACATACTCGTAAATTTTATCTTAAATGTTAAAATACTCAGAGTTAATGTATATCATTATTTTTTGGTTTTGCTATTTTATATTTTGTTGATTTTTATTTTCTTATAACTCTTTTTATGTTTGTTATTTTTTATTGAATGTTAATGATAATTTTTATTGTTTTATGACTTTCTAATAATCACTTTTTATCATATAGTAAAATATTCAAAACTAATGTATATAATTAATTTTTGGTTTCATTTTATTTTCTAAAAATATATTATAATTGTTTTTTTAGTTTTTATGTGTTTTATATTAAATGTTAATATTATTTTATGTTTTAGAAGAATTTAATTGAAAATTTTTTAATGATATAGTTGCTAAGATTAGAGAAATAAGGTGACATCTGATTGGGACGTTGACATAGCTGCACAAAAAAAGACGCTGACATAGCTGCACGAGAAGAGAGAAAATGTTACTTTATAGATATAGATTCTCTTACGTTTATTATGTAATGACCTAACTTAAGGGATAGGTCATACGTTGGGCCCAATTTATATCATAAAGAGTAGATTAACCTGCTAAACTTAGGCCATAGAATCATAATGAAAGTTTACTTGTGCCAGTCCCATTTTATTGACCGCGTGCTGTACAAGAGAAAACACGTGCATGTCTGTCAACTACGCCACGTGTATCCCAACCGCTATGTCGTGGCATCGATCCTTTGTATTTAAAACTTTCCTTTTTCGAAGGCAAACAAAATACAAAAAGAAAAGTCACCAAATCAGGAAGTTGATCGGAGATGTCGTCGGCGCAAATGGACCCACGCGACAAGATGAGATCACGCGATATAAGTAAAGTCGCGAGAGGACAGCAAGCGCCAAGACCAGCTCATGCTCCTGGTACGGTGTCGCCGCCACCACAGAACGAGGCGACATTTCGAGCTCAGAGAGGAGAAGACGGCGGAGATGGTGGTGGTCCTGGTGGAGATACTGGTTCGGCGGCGGATGAAGAGTTCCAGGTGACTAGTGAAACGCGACATTGCTTCAATCGGTTTAAGCAATACCATAAGTAAGTTTTTAAAAAAAATTACCACTAAATAAATGATTTAAGGTTGCATGATTGATTAGTAGTATTTTAAAATATTTTAATTTTATAGGTGTATTGAGGATAAAGGAAGAGATACGAATGATTGTAACAGCTTAAGAGATTATGTACGTTCGATGTGCCCCGAAAATTTGGTGAGCAAAATCTTCAATATGTATTGTTCCTTAATAGAAATTAACTCTGATTAAAAATATAATTACGATTCTGTGAAATTGATGTTTTGTTTTTCTTTCTTATGGAAGGTTGAGAAATGGGAGGAACAGAGAAAGTCTGGGACATTGCCCTCATCAGTTTGAAGATTAATTAGTTTATCAAATAGAGTCTCTGATATATTATAAACAGAGATGTTTATTTTGGTCGTTGTGTACAATACTAAAACCAAAATGCTATAATAAACTAAATAAATAATTAATTGAACTAGCTAAAGTCTACGTAGAAGTTCATCCTTTTAACACCATAGATATGCATTAGGAAAAGGAAAGATACCAAAATACATACTTCTTGAATGCTTCGATGATGCGCCAAAATTCGGTAATGCTCTCTGATAATAAAATAAAATTGCAAGATGTTAATATCCAAGTGCAGTTTTATATGTTTTCTGCCAATTTACTTCTACGTTGGAGCTTTGATCTGATACCAATTTGGTATCAGAGCTTTTATCTTGGTTAAGATAGAAAAGCTTTGAAACCAATTATTAGGTCTAGATCAAAGTTTCAACGTAGAAGTCTAATTGGCAGGATGATTTATTGTTTTTGCTAAACAAATTTCACATTCTTATATTTTACAACACAGTTGCAACTGAATCCACAAAAAGAGACTATAAAAAAGGGCACTCAACAATATTTGGATAAATCTAGTCGTGCTTGACATATATAAGGATCGAATCTTACTCTTTTAAAACAGGAAAATTAATAAACCCCTTGAATGACTTTTTAATAAACATACATTATTTCGAATTTTGATTTCTCCAATCGAACCAGACGGTTCTTTCAGCGTACCGGATATTCTTGGATTGGCAACGAAAGCAAAAGTGGTGTTGTGAGTTGTAACAGTGAAGAGTATTCAAAAGACACTAGCTTAAAAGGAGTCTTTCATCTCAATCAACAAGGCAAATACAAAAAAAGGTCTGCATTGTTGTCTAGCTTTGGTCCATGAAGATAGATAAAGGCTAATAGATTTTAGAAGCTTAATTACTTACGTGGTCGGTGTGGTCATGACCATAAGAACAATGATCAAGTCCAAGGATCATCACTACGAAGATGATTAAACCAAATCGTTCTAAGTATTCTATTCAAATCGACATTAAAACTGAGAGATGTAATAAATTTAAATAAATCAAACCGATTATATTATCGCATGCATCATGCATGAGTTCAAATCCGATTAAAGTTCTCACGTGAAACAGACTTCTTTGCATTTACCGTCTTAGTAAGCACTTTGCAAAGAAGATGTATGTCTTTGTTGAACTAGATAAAGTACAAGAATTCAAATATAATTAATTTTTAAGTAATTTAAAGTGTTTTGTTGGAATTTAAATCAATTCTATCAAAATCAGAGTAAAAATGGTAGGAATTGGTTCTTTACAATTTTTATGTAAGATTCTATTAAATTCCTTCCAAATGATAATAGAATCAAAGCTATTACAAAATTGAATAACACAGATATTTAATAGAATTGGAGAATTGATATATTGAATAACAATGGTATTTAAAGGATTTTGAAAGAATGAATAGAAATCTTTAATCCAATAACACTGATATTTAAAAGAATTGATAATATATATAATTGAATAACAGTAGTATTTAATGGAATTTTCAATTTCCTATAATTTCATCCAATTTCTGAATCCAATACCCCCATATTATAATGAAGTGGTTCATAGTATTATTATTTGGTTAACTCAAATTTTGAATTTGGACTTTATTACTTCAAGGTAAAAATAAATCATGCTTTCGTCGTAAAGTTTTCGTACCAAAACTATAAAAATTAAACGAACCAAATTCTAAATATTAGTTTTGTCAAAATAATTAATGATTTTATATATACTATATATTTATCCGCGCTACGCTGCGAGATATTTTTTCTAGATTTGTATATATTTTTAATATAATAAAATTATTTCTATAATGTAAATGAGTATTATATTTATTTTTTATTAGCTTAAAATATGTATTTATATGTTTTAAATCTGAATAAACATTATATATCATTAATTTTTTAATTTTTTAAAATTATAATCTACTATCAAATTTGTTTAGCTAACTATCTATAAATGTATATGTAAGAATAAAATAATATATTTTTAAGTATCTTCATGCTAATGCTAAATGTAATTTATTATCTCTACTAAATTGCTACTTGATCCTCTTTTGAAATTATATAAAGCAAATTGCCATTTAAAAAATATTATTAATATGATTATTTTAAACTATAAAATTTATTTTTTATCAAATATTTATTATAGACATATGTTTCTAAAACTATCAAACTATAATCAATAACATTCATATCAAAATTATTATATTATTTTTAAACTAAATAGAAAATTCTATTTGAACTGTTGAAATATCAATTTAGTTGAAGTTAAATAATTCAATTTTGGCTACTATAAACATATTGTAACTTTAAAAATTAGCACAGAGAAATTTTATCATTTTATAAAAACCAAAAAATTGTATTTTCTGACAAAACAAAAAATATATTTTCCCACAAAACTGAGAAATCGCATATTCCCGCCAAAACCAAAACAAATCATTTTCTCGTCAAACCTGAAATTTTATTTTCCTACCAAAACAAAGAAATTACATTTTCCCTCAAAAACCAAAAAATCACATTTTTCCGCGAAAACCTGTGTTTCCCGTCAAAACAGAAAAATCAAGTTTTTTCACTAAAACCAAAAAATTTCATCTTTCTGCAAAAACAAAAATAATAGTATTTTCCTGTCAAAATCAAAAAGATATTTTCCCGCAAAAATCATCTATTCCCAGCAGAACAAGAAAAAAAAAATTTTCTCGTCAAATCAAGAATCACATCTTCCTACCAAAATCGATAAACTATAATTTTCCGCAAAAACCAAAAATTGCATTATCTCATGAGAAATTGAGTTTCCGACGGACTCCTTATTTTAAATTTTAGCGATATAGGAAGTTGGAGGACTCTTCTTTTTTTAGTTTCCCGGGGGGTCGCGGGTTCTTGACGAGAGAGTGAGATTAGACTGCTTAAACCGCAAAAACTAAGAAATTATATTTTCTCTCGAAAACCAAAAAATCAAATTATATGTCAAAAACTGAAAATTTGCATTTCCCATCAAAACCAAGAAATTGTTTATTCCCGCCAAAATCGAGCAATTTTGCTTTTCTATCAACCCGAAAAATTGCATTTTCTGCCAAAATTGTCAAATTACAATTTTCCGCAAAAATGAAGAAATTACATTATCCATCAAAAGCCGAAAATTTGCATTTTCTATCAAAACCGAGAAATTGTATTTTTCGTCAAAATTGAAAAGTTGCATTTTCCTCGCATTTTCTCGTCAAAATCAAATTTTTTATTTCTCACCAAAACCAAAAATTCACATTTTTCCGCCAAACCCGAGAATTCGCTTTTTTCCGCCATAACCGAGAAATTATGTTTTCCTACCAAAACTGAAAATCACATTTTTCTACCAAAACCAAGAAATTCTCTAATTCCGCCAAACCCAAGAAAATTTGTTCTCGGTAACCAGTGGAAATGTGAATCTCCAAGTTGTGGTGGTATGAGTTTCTCCTCATTTGCTTTCACATTCCATTTTTTTTTTTGAAAACTTTGGGCTTTTTAATGGGTTAGAAAAATAGTAAATTGATTTTATTAGTGTGAATAATATGTATTATTGTTATATTTTTATTGGTTCAAATTTTTGCTGATGTGTAAGCTTCTTATAACATAACACTTTTTGCATTGTTGTTATGGAAGCATAGTTGATGATGAGTCTACACTTTCTTTAATCATATACGTATCTATCAAGCAAACACATAGGTAGAAATTTTAATTTTTTTTTGCTGTTTTTTATTATTTGAGTTTCGGTTTGGCAAAAATATAAAACAAAGATTTAATTTTATTATTAGTTGTTATTTATTATTTGAGTTTGGCAAAAAAATAAAACAATTTTTTTATTTGCTCTTATTTATTATTTGGGCTTAGGCTTGACCAAAAAATAAAATTAAAATTAACAATAAAAAATATTTAGGTTTTTAATGGGTTTAAATTTAAAAGTTAAAATATATTGATGACTTGTATTAATGAAATGTTTTTATTGGTGTATTTTTTTGCTGAAGTATCATCTCCTAAAAGCTTGAAAATGCTGATGTGTCAAGCCATAAAGAGACTTATGGGTTATTGTTGTGTTGATCTCATAAACCGATCGATTTTATGGATCAACTAGGTGGTCCGCCTGCGCCAGCGCAGACAAATATTTTTTTCATGCATGAAACTTTTTGCTATAAATTCTTTTTCTTTATTATTTTTGTTGGTTTTTCTAAAAAAAACAAACTGACATAAAATACTTCCATTTTATAGTGTGTTGGCTACCACACTTAATCTATTTAGCTAATTGCTCGCATTAGATGCAAAGACAAACAAATTTTGGGGCAAGAAAACAATTGTAACTTTATTCACTCAAACCAAGATGTTTAAAAGGATACAATAAAGTTGAATTGTAAGAAACTAATTTCTCTTTCAAATAATGAAAACCCATCTAAACGTGAATCGTGTTTCATCTCTTATCCAACTATATTTACTTGAAAATTAGAAAAAATATTAATATCATTAATTTACTTGAAAATTAAGAAAAAAATATTAATATCATTAAGAAGATGAATCATATTTTGATTAAAAATTCAATGTGTATAAACTTAGCATTATTAGACAAATGTAACTTTTAGAAATATACACATCTAGTATTAGGATCAATAAAAATGTTTCTAACAAAAAATCTTGAAAAGTGTGAAACAATTTACTTGGAAATTATCAAGAAAGTATGAAAAACTTACTTGTTAGTGTACATATTTGAGGTCCAAACTTGCCACCATGTAACACTAAGAAAAATATCATAGTAAATGTTAGATCAGCAGTATGCTGTACTTATTCGTGATTGCTGTGTGGACAAAAAGTATTTACTAATAAATTATTTGAGTTTTATTGTTCATTTTAAAGGAACTCATGAATATAAACTCATTTCAAAGGTTTTTTGCTGGCTTTTATTTTGTATTATATACTCTACAATGTGTTCCATCTTATTATGAAATAAATTTTAGTGAAAAAATAATTACCAAATCATAGTTAAAACACGTCATCACACGGAAATTTGTGAACGTTTGGAGTGTGCGAGATTTATTGTAAAAACAAAAAATATGCATATAGTAACTGCTGTAATAGATATTGATTATGTATAGTCATAAACTTCGGTTTGTTTTATTCAACAATCGTAAATAAGCCAAGCGAATTAAATTAAAATCTAATAAAATATATATCAAAATATGTGTATATGAACGACCATTTGATCAAAGTCGGTGACTGAATTGAATTAAAATTCAATAAAATATATACCAAAATTATTATCTTTTGACATTAACATCATAATTCTTTAGACTTAATATAGCTAGTATAGTTGATTATGCTCCAGTGCAGATGATTGACCTAATTCTTTAGACTTAATTTTATACACTTCTTGCACCTCATCACTGGATCCATTGTCCCATTCCAAACTATGGTCATCATATCGTTTTCCTCAATCTCGGAAGTACAATCACCACTATCTGAATCATCATCAGCAGCATCATCACCTAAATATTCAGATCTCCTACTTTAACCATCATCATCATCAGACTCTTCTAATTCATAGTCAGAAGAATCATCATCAGTTCCAACATCACAAGTACCATCATTCTCATTAGCAAACCATCTTCATCATCAGACTCGAAGAATCATCGTCGGTTCTAGCATCACCATCCCTATCATCACTAAGATATTCTGATCCACTACTTAAACCTTCATCATCACTTGAATCGCCTAACACATGCTCGAAACGTTCATACTCATCTATTCCATCTACTCCAAACATTATTGTTAGAAATACCACGAACAATTGAGCAAACAACAAAGAAATAATCATATTACCAATCATAAATCAGCGAGACCCAACCTTTATTTTTCAATTAAATAATACTAAAACACACATACCTTGGAAACCATGACAAATATGACGTGGATGAACTCATTATAGAATCCCATTTAAACGAATATAAGAGCATCGGTATAGGAGATCTCATGATACAAAGCTTTTAACATTTTCTTATTATTAAAAAAATGCTTTTTTAAAAAATAAAAAAGAAATTTTTTGACAAATGGCGTCTCGCCACGTAACGGGGGAGACGCTCCTTCCGCCTCTGTGCAGAGAGCCGATTCTACCTTTTAGTCTTGCCACATCATTTTTTTATTTTTTTTTTAAAACTCTACTAAAGCTGTCTATTACAGATGCTCTCACCATTGTCTCGAAACTAAGAAAAACAAATATAACATCACAAATCAATAATAAAAGAATGGAAAACAAAAAATCTAAGACATAAAATAGATCGATAGCTTTAAAATAAATAAAATATTCACAAAGCATCAGTACATATGCACTAACCATTAAAGCACATAAGAAAGTTCATCAAAGCCATTGTTGGCATATAAGATTCATGATTTGATAGAAAAATACAAACCCTAAAATGCGATCGAAAACTATATATACATGAAAACTCTAGAGTTTATATATTGATATTTTTATATTTATATACGTAAGGATAATTATTAATCAAATATATCGATGTGAAAATAAGTGTTTAATTTGCATAAATATAAAAGATATTTTAAATAATAGAATATTTGCCGAATAAATTTATGGAAGATAACCAAATAAATATATGATTTGTATATATATATATATAATTGTTTATATAAATAATATTAATCCATATATTATAGTTAATTAATTTTATTAAGGGTAATTAAAATTAATTTATATGAGTCAACCATGATAACTCTCAATTACAGCCTAACTTGCTTGTTAATTAATAATATGATTGGTTTGGTTAAATTGAGTTCGATTTATAAAAGAGTGAGAAAACGCATTGGGCTTTTTGACCCAGGCCCATAAAAAACGACTCACGTGTCAATTTAATACCCGACGCCCTAGACCCGCCGTGAAATCAAGCGTCGAAGAGAGAGAGAGAGAGAGACTTCTCCAAAATCAGAGCGACAAAAAAAACTCTCATCCGATTCCAAATTACTCGACGATTTTTTGGTCGTTGGGCTTTCTTTCTCTTTCGTGGATAACGGTTTTTATATTTTGACCGTTACTTAACCGTTTCGTATCTCTCCGGTGAAGAAAGATGTCGGCTTCCTCCCCTTCTCCGAGTAGCAATGGCCTCTCCGCCGCCGTCACGCCTCCCAAAACTCTCCGTGGCCTCAACAAACCCAAGTGTATCCAATGCGGCAACGTCGCTCGCTCCAGGCAACTCTCTCTCTCTCTCTCCCTCTCTCTCTCTCTCTCTCTCTCTCTCTCTCTCTCTCTCTCTCTCTCTCTCTCTCTCTCTCTCTCTCTCTCTTCTTCGCATTGTTTCCTCGAGGAATTAGATTTCTCACATCTGGGGTTCAAATTTTCGTAGCTTAGTTTGTAAATTCGTGGGTTTTTCAATCTGATGCGAATCGAATTGCTCTAATATACTTCGATTTCTGTTTGATTTATAGTCGGGATTTGGGAACAAATTTCTTCTCTTTTTTCTTTTCTTGAGCTTGTGTAAAGTTTTGAGCTTTATAGGTTCTGTTTATTGTCAAAGGATCAATTTTCTCACTTGATTTGGACTGATATTGATTGGTTGTGTGATGAATGCAGGTGCCCATTTCAATCTTGTAAAGGTTGTTGTTCAAGAGCAGAGAACCCTTGTCCGATTCACGGTATGATAGTTAAGTTAAAGAAATCAGATTTTAGAGTTTAGTGTTCATGACTTCGATAAGCATCACTCTTTAGGTGAGTTCTTGTGATAGTTTCGTTGGCAACTTAAGCATGAACAACAATTAGGTTTCATAAAAAGAATGGTTATTACGGAACAATCAAACCACTAGAGAACCTGGAACACAAAGAACGAGTATCGTAAGACTGGTTTTGTTGTTGTGAGGGATTGTCATTAGCTAACAGAGATAGAGTTTTTTTACAATCATGGACTGTTAAAGAATTTAGATGTGGAGTTTATTGTTCATGACTTCGATAAGTATCACTCTTTAGGGGAATTCTTGTGATAGTTTCTTTCCATTGGTAACTTAAGCATGAAACAAGAAATAGAGATGTTCTTTTCATAGACTGTTGTTAATTCGGCTTAAGTGTTGTTCTTGTCGCTGCAGTTCTTAAAGTAGCTGCAACCTCTGCCGAGAAGACGCAGGCGCCAAGTACTCCATCATCAGATCAGAAAGCATCCGAGGGCACTCCCGGGTACATATATTCAAACTCTTTTTTTCTTATATTCTTGCTTTGATTGTGCTTTTTGCAAGCAAGTGAATCTCAGATGACAAACCAGTTTGATCATTAGATGTGTGTGTATGCTCTTGTGGAACTAAAAAGATGGTTCCTTTATTATTAATATTGTTTCTTCTGTTGGGTTCTGCTTCAGGAGTACAACTAGAGTTTCATCAATCCGCCAACTTTCTAGCAACTTTGCTCAGTTTAATAACCTGAATGCTGCTTCCCGCCAGAGAAAACCTTTGACGATAAAGGTACTATCGAAAACGTATCTTGTTGATTATAAAATCTCCTACTCGTTGTTTCCCTCTTAATCAGTTGTTGTTCTGTCTTACATTCTGTAGGATGCTCAAGCGTTAAACGAGTGGCGGTTCACAAAGCTAAAAGAGTACAGAGACAGAAACATTGAAGTGGAGAACGAAGCTTTTGATCGGTACATGAACAATGTGCATTTACTCGAGGAAGCCTTTTCATTGACATCTGTTCCTGAAGAGGATCATCCCGGAGAAGGAGCTTCTGAGCGAAGCAGCGAGGAAAGAACTGTTTCGGAGCTTAAACTGAGGCTGAGATCAAACTCCGCAAGAACAGAGAGCTTCAAGAAGCGTATCGCAGAGACTGTCAAAGCCGGTTTGGTAAAGGTTAAGAAATCGGTTCGTGGTGGTAAATCAGATGATCAAGAAGAAACCAAAAGACGGAACAAAAGAAGTAGATGGGAAGAGAAAACTTCAGCTTTGAGTGAAATAATCGACAAACTGAACAAAGCAAGAACAGAAGAGGATCTCAAATCTTGCGTGGAAATGAAATCAAAGCTCTTTGGTCAAGTTTCTTCCAATGCAGCATCCGAGAAGAACAAGGGTTTGATTGGTTCTGTCCAAAAAGTTGAGATCAGCGAGGCAGTTAAAAAAATGGGCGAGCAGCTCGTATCTGTTGACAAAGTTGAAGCTTTGTGAAGTCAAAGAACATACAATAAGAACATTCCTGTCGATGAATCGAATGTTCTGGTGGCGAGAAAAATCAGATCATTCATCGTCATAGGTATTGTATACTATGATCAAAGATCCCTCGAAGCTGGTCCTGAAGATTTTTGTGTAAAGTAGTGTTGAGCAAAAATTAGATTTTTTTAGAACTCAGGACTGGAGAAAGCTTGTTGATTGTATCTTGTTGGATTTTCATACTGTATGATTGCTTTGTTTGATTTAAAATGCTCATTGGATTACTAATAGAATCGGTTCCAATTTTTTTATGTTGAAAATTCACAACTTAAGATTACTTTGCAGTTTTTTCTGTTGATTTTTGAAAATAATTATTAAGAACAAATTTTTTTTTTTTTTTTTTTTTTACTGTAAATATTCTATATATTAAATATTAACTTTAAAGATATTGGGTTCGGAAGCCAGCCACTCTGGAAGCAAAGAGTTTACATAGCAGAAAATCAAATCACGGGTTTGAGTGCTTTTAGCGAAACAATCAGCACAGACATTAAGAGAATGTGGGGTAAAAATTATAAAAAAATTATAAAAACTAGGGCGCAAAAACTCCAGTTCTTCAAACTCTGTTGCTAGTGTCGGTCGGTCATTCTTCTTCGTTTTCAATCAAGTTTACCAACTGTGTAACAGTCCGTCTCAATTACCAATCCAAAAATCTGCATAGAAATCAAAATTCTCAACAAAATTTATTTATCTATTTAGAGATAGGTATCTAGATACGTTGATTTAAGAATAAGAAATCAAATTTATTCTTTGTTGATGTCATAGCCTCTGACTTTAACAAATAGTTGGTTTGGTTTGGAGAACCGGTCTGTCTAATTGAACCGGCCCATTTTGGAGAAAAATCCATCCATCATTCTTCATTCTCAAAACGTATATTTTGTGTATATAACGAGTTATCTTTGAAAGCGACTACAACCAAACTTTTAGATTCTCATTTTGTTTTGCAGTTCCAATTCCACTTTCGAATTGTGGATTAAAAGTTATTGTGGATTAAAATAAACTTTGGAAACATATCTAAAAGTTATTGTGGATTAAAATAATCTTTGGAAACATTTTTAGATTCAACCATATCTATATATGCACGTTTTTTTTTTTGACAAACCTATCTATATATATGCATGTTCTTCGTGTATACGTGTTTATTATACACTTATACAGTATACGAGTTATACACCAATGGGTTGTTGCCTTGTTGGTTAAGACTTGAGTTGAGACGAAACAACTCAGATCAAATGTGCTCATTTTAAGTTTTTGTTCGATTTTTTTTCTCACGTCGTTTTAAGTTAAAGCTTTCAATAACTTTTAAATTACCAAAAATTTAAAGTTTTCAATAGTTATAAATGTTTCTACAACGGGTTGCTCGAATATATATGATTTTTAATTGTTAGATAATAACGTATTTAACCTCTATGTTGTTAACTTATTCGAGCTTCGAATAAGAAACAGAATGAAAAAAAAAAAGTGGAATGGAACAATAATTTCAACTAATATGGTTGTGAAGCAGAATGACAAGGAAATGACTTATCAATCTACTTATTTCTATACATTTTGTATAATTCACATGATTAATGATATTTTTTGGAGATATCATGAAATATTATTGAGGCCCAATATTATTTCACCTACAAGTTGCAGAGAATTTTTGTTTTTTGAGCAAAATTTGGTTTCTTTCATGGGAAATTGAGTCCTATGACCATATTAGTAAGCTAAATTCATCATCTAACTATAACAAAATAGATGCAATGATATTCTCTATATATTATATAATATATATAAAAATATCTCTCCTCTTTCGTGTCATCTTCCCCTCCACTTTTCTCATAGCCCCACCTTTTCCCTCCTCTTCCCCTCCTCTTCCCTTCTATTCCTCTCTCTTCCCTTCCTCTCATCTCCTATTCTCTCCCTTCTTTGTTCATCTCCTCCCTTCTTCTCTTCTTCTATTTTTTTGCAAATACTATATCAAACGATATTATTCTATAAAATTGAGATATAGTATAATAGTTATTATAGTATAGTACAGGGATATTTTCGACAATCGATAGTAAGCCATGGTTAGTTTGTAAATTATCCATACACTATGTCTGTATTTTTTATTTCAACTCTCAATATGGTTATATATGCAAAAAGCTCTTCTTTCATCTATATGATTCATTTGATCATGTAATTTGGTTTCTTTCATCTAACCGGTTGCTTATGATATCATCCGATACTTGAAGAGAAAGGGAAATGAAAGTTATCGCTGACCACTTATCCAATAATTATAATGTTTACCAAACCTGTAAAAGCAAAATACAAACTATAAAAAATACACAGTATAAGTACTGAATAGATAAACAATTAGTTGCATAAAAAAGTAGATTAATAATTAAACGGTGGGACGAAGTTGCTGTCTGATCATCTATCATCTAATTATGTGATTATAGTGTGCTAATGAAATATAAAAATGCCAAGCAAGACTCACACATGTTATGATTAAATGCATTACTTCATTATATTAGTTGTTAAAAACAGTATAAGCAATCTTTTAAAGTTGTATTATAAGAAAGTTACTTGTTAAATATGACAATGAAGATGGAAGACAAAACTAGACGTCTCACTCACAGAAAGTATCAAACCACTTATTTGAAGTAACGTGAAATATGGTAGATGTAGATTTAATTCAACCTATACATTTTAGAAGAATAATTGCATTCTATAGCAATGGAGAATTCGCCATTTAAGAAATTAACAAGTCGATTTTTAAAATGATAAAGCTAAAAGTCGCTATTTATTGAAATGTGTAGTGACATACGTTAAGTACATATATGCTTGTTGATCGCTACATATAAGATTTTAAACTCATAAATTAATAATAAATATATAAAAATTATATTATAGTTTAATCATAGTCTTTTACAGAAGATTAATAAATAAATACAATTAATTTAAATAAATTAGTTCGGGTCGGATACAAACTGGTATCAAAAATTTGGTTACCGAATAAATAGTACAAATTTCGATTTCCTTTTTTTGTGGTTGAATCTGTTTCTTCCGACTGAGTTTTATGGTAATTGTATAATGCATTGTATACACAATTGATGCTGTAATTCTTTATGTATTTATAGAAATAAAATACTGTATCTTTTTTTGTCAAAAATAAAATATTACAGAAATAAGATGATGTACAATAAAGAAAATTATATAGTTTTTCAAAAGATGTAACACATGACTTTTAAAGAAAAATACTACAGTAGTATATAAAAACACATGTTTTATTACAATATTTTGTTATATGTATATATATATAACAACATCAAATGAGTACTTAAATCTTATTCTAAAACACAAAACAAAACAAAGAAAAATATTTTATTGTGTAAAATTCTATTTCCACCGTAGTATTAAATCTGTGTAAAATTCCATCGTAGTACTAAACCTGGTGGATCCCAATATTTTTTTGTAAACCAAATCCCATCAAATCTAGCAATCCATGAACGTAGCTGGCCACATCGCTTATGACTTGAATGATATGCTTCAAAAGAAGCAATATAACTATTGGTAGGCCCGTACATAAGAACGCAATTCCAACCTGTTTTACGTGGCCAAATATTATCTTTAAAATCAATTATGAAAAAAGGATCCTTAAATTTCATTCTGTGAGTTTTTATAGCACCATCGGGGGTTTTGCGACAATTAATATAAAGCTCATTGTTAGGATCGAGTTCATTGTGGAATACTACATGATTTTTCTTGCAAGAAGCTGCTTCATTTAACCCAAAATATATAACAGTAACTAACACAAAAATTATCAAATTATTCATATTTTGGATGTAAGATATTTGTTAAAGTCAAAACAACATCACCATGTAGTATTTATAAAAACAAATTTGTGAGAAACACATTTTTCTTTATTTGGCAAATCATCTATTTATGAATTTGGCTAAATTTAAACATAAAATGAACTAATTTAACGATGGGTGTCCTAGCTTTTATAAGCTTGGTTAACCCCTAAAATTAAACAAAATGAATAAATTTTACTAATTATAGCTTACCACAAAAATCAAAAATCATAGTGCGATGATTGACGGTCTTGTGAAGGTTGGTGAATACAATACCGTGCTTCGTTTGTTTAACATATGCATCTTGGAAAAATATTCGTTAGATATTGTGTCATATACAGTAGCAATTAAGGGACTTGTGCGTATCATAATTTTTCAATAGTTTTTCAATGTACAATCTATTCTAATAAAGTAAGGTTGTTATCACAACCAGCTCTGATATGCTGCCATGTGGCATCTAAAAAACTGACATGTGTCACTTTTTTTTATAATTTATGTTAATTTTTTTCCATTAGAAGAAAGCTTCAGTTTTTTTCTCTTCTACAAATGATTATTTTTCATCCAACAAACAGAAATGAAAATAAAATCACTCAAACAAATCTAATATAATATAATAAAATAATGTGTCATTTTATTTCTGTTCTTTTTTTTCTTCTCAACACTATTCTCTTTCATTATGGGTCTGATTGGTGTGCATTAGAAGAATTGAGAGGAATTGAGAAGAATGTAATTGAGAAGAAAAGAAAAGTTATATTTGGAAAAAATAATTTTATTTGTTTTGAATATGTGCTTTTAGATAGAATAATTTTTTCAACTTGGTTTGGGTGGAAGGAAATTTTCCACACCTTTCTACCAATTTCAGAAGATAATTTTTTCTTCTGTTTTTGTTTTTTTTCTTTGTGATTGGTTTACTTTTGAAATTACTCGAAGAAATATTTTCTTAACTTTTTCTTTTCTTCAATAGACTACAACCAGTCAAAACCTATGTCTCTTATTTCACATTATTCAAGGAGATTTTTTAAACTTTTAAGAGCTGACTGTGACATTGTTTCATCGCAAAAAATAGATTCATTTTTTGTGCAAAAATAGAGTCATTTCTTCATGTTTTGTTTCTGGCCAGATGAACATAAAACCATGTATCATTTGCTTTTGTGAAAATTTTTTAGATTTTTCATAATATGCCTCAAATAAATACTGTGCTTCCAGTCTTAAGCCTATCTTGCCAAATATTTTGTTTGAAATTTTAGTTATATTAAATTACTAGGAGAAGGTTTTTTTTTTCATCAACAAACAATTATTTTTAATCTAACAAACAGAAACAAAAATCAGTAAAGTCTTTTTTCAGAACAAGCTCTGATATGCAGCCACATGATATCTAAAAAACTAACACGTGTCACTTTTTTTTTTTTTACAATCTCTATTCAATTTTTTTCATTAACCAAACACATAAAAGAAGATTCTGTTTTCTTCTCTTTTAGAAATGATTATTTTTTATCTAACAAACAGAAACGAAATCAGTAAGGTTTTTTTTTTCATAAACAACTCTGATATCCTGTCACGTGGCATCTTAGAAATTGACATGCATCATTTTTTTCCTATTTCTATTGTATTCACTTTAATCGAACAAATACAAAAACAATGTCTCGAATTTTTCTTCTTCTCCACCAGATTCTCTTTTATTATATCTCCTATTTCACATTATTTAGATTTTTTTAACTTTTAAGAGCTGACTATGTCGTTGTTTCTGTCTGGAAAAATAGATTCATTTTTCCATGTTCTCTTTGTGGCAATCAAAATGAAAATCATGCACTATTAGCTTTCATACAATCTTTTTGCATTAGGGCCTCACTACTTACATTCCTACTGCATCCAACCTCAAACTGTCATTACTATCACAATATGTATTATATTCTCGAAAACTTTCTTTTCGGTCATCCCCAATGACAGCATCACTTCATACAAAAATTAAAGAGTATATACAACTTAAAAACTAATATTTACCGATAAAATTTACTAACAATTATAATAAAATTAATTATAAAATTAAAATAGTCATAATATCCTAGTAAAAGAATGTTACATATGTTTTCTTACAATATTTTGTTATATATATATATATATATCAATATCAAATGATTTTTCATATAGGCAATGACTTATATCTCTTTGGGTTCTATTTCTTCTAACTCAGTTAGGGGTATTTGGAGAACATATGTTTATTACAGACATGAAGAACATCATAAATTCCAAGAATAATTTGGTGGACGAAGTAGAAAAGCTGGTCGTGGAAAAGACAAAGTAGCACGAGTATAAGCTAAAATAACTTTGGGTAATATCATATTTCACCTTCAACTTAGATATTTTTGTTTTTGTTTTTTCATTTCTTTTTTTTGGAGCAAAAAATTGTTTCTTTCATCTATATGATTCATTTGATCATGTATTTTGGTTTCTTTCATCTAACCGGTTGCTTATGATATCATCCGATACTTGAAGAGAAAGGGAAATGAAAGTTATCGCTGACCACTTATCCAAGAATTATTAATGTTTACCAAACTCTGTAAAAGCAAAATGCATACTATAAAAAAAAATACACAGTATAAGTACTGAATATAAACATTTAGTTGCACAAAAAATAGATTAATAATTAAAAGGTGGGACGAAGTTGCTGTCTGATCATCTAATTATGTGATTATAGTGTGCTAATGAACTATAAAAATGCCAAGCAAGACTCACACATGTTATGATTAATGCATTACTTCATTTTATTAGTTGTTAAAAACAGTATAAGCAATCTTAAAGTTGTATTATAAGAAAGTTACTTGTTAAATATGACAATGAAGATGTCTCACTCACTCACAGAAAGTATCAAACCACTTATTTGAAGCAACGTGAAATATGGTAGATGTAGATTTAATTCAACCTATACATTTTAGAAGAATAATTGCATTCTATAGCAATGGAAAAATCGCCATTTAAGAAATTAACAAGTCGATTTTATAAAATGATAAAGCTAAAAGTCGCTATTTATTGAAATGAGTACATACTGTATATGCTTGTTGATAATAAATGTAAAATTTATATTACATTATCACATAGCCTTTTATAAAATCTTCACAGTCTCAGTCTTTTACAAAAGTTTAATAAATAAATACAATTGATTTAATTTCAATAAATTAGTTCGGGTCGGATGCAAACCGGTATCAAAAATTTGGTTACCGAATAAATAGTACAAATTTCGATTTCCGTTTCTTTATTTTACACTTTATTTTCTTTTTGTTTTTTTTCTTGGAATATGCGAGAGTAATGGCGTGGTTGAAGACACGAGAGAGAATCCTGAAGAAAAAGCCAAAGCATAAGAAGAGATGCAAAAGAACAAACCAACCCCAAAAGAAAGACTCTTTCTTCTCCATTGCCTCTATATTTATTTTTATATATAAAGAGAAAAAGAGAAGAGAGAGAGAGAGAGAGAGAGAGAGAGTGAAAGGTGGAGAAAAAAACAGAGACAGAGTTCAAATACGTTAAGATGATGGTGATGATGGAGCTTTTGGATCATTAACCATTAATATTTTGTTCCATCACTTAAAAAAATTGTTCAGTTTCACTCGAAAAACGGAAAATGGCTGTTCAAGCTCAACATCATTCCTCCAATCTCATCTTCCTCAACCACAGGTTCGTATTTTTCTCTGTAAATTTTTTTGTATATGTTTTTTGTTTCTTCTTTTATTGATTTACGGATTTGAATTGTTTGTGTGTGCAGAAACGGTGAAGAGGAGGAACAAGATTTCTCGTTGCGATCACAGGCTGGAGAGTTTCTTGATCAGACCAATATGTTAATGTTCAACAATGGTAGTTCGTAAAGTTGTTTTATTTTTCAATCACCATTACAAAATCTTGAATTTTTTTTTAACAAATTGAGTTTGTCTGCGTCTTCTTTGATAGGCTCTAATCAGAGAAAACGAGGACGAGAAGCGAACAATCTGCAATTTCCTCTGCAATCTCAGTTTCCTCAAGTTATAGACTTATCTCTATTACACAACCACCATCACCATTCGCCGTCGAATATGGTTTACACAGGACTCCGATTATCTTCCGGTGAAGATCAGATTCAAAACATTAGTAATTCGTTTCAGCAGAACAGTCATCACCATCGGAATCTTGTCTTCACTTCGTCTGATGATGTTGTCGCTGCACATATCAATATCCAAAGCGAAGAACTAAAAGAGTTTCTTCACACCCAGGTTTTAATTTTATCTGACACGAATTGGGTTTTCGAAAAGTTTTGATTTTGTTCTCACCGGAAATGTGATTTGCATAGGCGGAGGAGCTACGGCGCACGTTAGCAGAAAAGAGGAGGATGCACTATAAAGCGCTTATTTGCGCTGTGGAGGAGCCGGTGATTCGTAAGCTGAGGGAGAAAGAAGCAGAGATAGAGATTGCCACGCGCCTTCACAATGAGCTGGAGGCGCGTGACGCACAGCTTAGAGCCGAGGCGCAGGCGTGGCAAGCGAGAGCCAGGGCGCAGGAAACCGCCGCCGCGTCGCTGCAGGCTCAGCTTCATCAGGCCGTTAACATACGCCGCGGTGGAGGTGTGTCAGCGCAAGTTAGTAGAGGTGCGGAGGAAGAGCCATTGTGCGTAGCCGGAATAAGCGGATTGGACGACGCCGAATCGGCTTACGTGGATCCGGAGAGGATGAGGCGGCCGAGATGCAAAGGTTGCCGGAAAAGGGAAGCGACGGTGGTGATGTTGCCGTGTCGGCATCTGAGCATCTGCCCGGAATGTGACCGGACAGCTCTAGTTTGCCCGCTGTGTCTCACGTTGCGGAACTCAAGCGTTGAAGCTATCCTTTGCTAAATGGGCCAAAATTGTAAGCCCATTAATTTGTCAATCGTACATAAAACATTTTAGGAATATGAATTCAAAAACAAAAGTGAAAAAACGTATACTCCAGAGAAGAAAATTTAGATCGGAAAATCTCAACGGGATTTTTTTTGGCAACGGTCCACGCCGTTCAGCATTTTATGAATATGATTTTTTTTTTTAATATTAGAATAAATACGTAAAATGGTTGAATACCAAATTTACAAGACTTTCATATCCTAAAAAAACAAGCTAATGTCAACACGGAACATAAAGTATTGGCGCACAAATGTTCATATATATCATATCATTCTGAGGAAAATACATTAATTTAAAATACTGTCACAAACGCGACGGATGCACAAATGCAAGCACCGAAGAAGATGAATTGAGTATTAGTATTACTATTACCAAAAATCACAAACGCACCGACGAAGCATATGCTATTTCACATGTTCTATCTGAGCTTTAACAATCATATGAGGACGACTTGACACGTGGAAGAGCCTCTTGGAATCTTGAGGAGCTTCTCATAGTCTATCGAACCATCATGGTTGACATGTAGCGTGAGTGTCTTGAGCACTGCTGAATTCTCTAGGAAATACTTAACCAGCTTCATTTCTGCAGCATATCCAGAGATTGGCGTAACGAAATCAACAAACTCAAGCGACTGCAAAAAACACTCAGGAACAGATGAATAACCACTAATTTGATCCATCTCCTCACAACTCATCTCTCCATAATCATCTATTGCCTGAGGTAAAAACAGAGGATTGTGAGGAAATACACAACGAGTTTCATAGTGAGATATGTAAAAAACAGTTCATTATCATTACCAAAACGAGGGATTTCAAGTTCGGGCAGCTCTCAAGAAAGGTTGGTAAACATTTCAAATCGGATACACAGATAGTAACAAACAGTCGTGACATGCAACGAAATTGAGGCCGCGGTTCTAATTTGGTGTACTCATGAATCACCTGAAACCAAAAAAACAGAAAGCATTGTTTGGTTTTAGAAACTTTTCAATTTATGGAAAATGTCCAAATACACATATATATACCTTGAAAGTGCCTGCATCTATCTTCATATCTCTAACCCTCAAGATCCCTGGAAGAAAACTGCGGATGCGACATCTCCTTCTCCTTGCTGAAACACTTGCTTCATCAAAAGGCTCCAAACCAAAGTTGACAACAATCTCTAACTTGGCAATATTGGACTCCAAGTTGTTTACATGAAAGCTATCTGATTCGTAATCATAGATGCTCAGAAACCGTAGCAGCGGAGCATCAACCACAACTCCCGAAACAGAATCAGACTGAAACTGGAAAGGAGAAACTCGTATGAAAGTGAGACTCTTCAGTGACCGAGACTGTACCCGTAAGAGTTCTGCGTCGTTCCTAGCTAAAGAGATCTCCAACTCTTCCAAGACAGGACAGGACGAGACAAGTGTCTCTAAAGCTGCTTCATTGGGATACTGTACTTTTATCAGATGCATAGTCTTGAGACAAGGCAAGGAGAAGAAAAGCTCTGCATCAGGCAAGGATACCCACTGGATTTTCAAGAACACAAGCGTCTCACAGATGTAAAGGCTTATGGGCATTTGATAAAAGTAATCAACTTCAGGAGAACGAACATCAAGATGCTGAATCTTCCGGTTAACTGCAGAATCGATCCACGACTTGAGATTATAGGACTCATCAGCATTTACACCGTCTTCAACATCTAACTTGACTTTGCGTATAAATGAAACCCTGTTGGAATCGAAAACCCTGTGGCCAAAACTCACAAAGGCATTGAAATCTGGGAATTGGTAGAAGTCTAGGTCCAATTCAGGAACCCAAAGCCAGAGACTTTTCCATCTGGTGGATAAAACGCTTGTGCAAACAGCTTCCTTTGTGGGAAGATGAGAAAGGATTTGGCTTATCAGAGGATCAGGTAAAGAGCTTATCATATCTTCCTTCAATCTCTGACTCAACCCTCTGGAACAGCTCTGTTTCGATTCCCCTCTGCCAAACATCATTTCTCGAAATAGTAATCTCAGATGAACATCCGAAAGGTTTCTAGCTCGATTCTTGAACGCGGAGAGACAGATTAACGAAGAGAGTGGCTTAAGAAAGGTTTTTGAGTTACGAATATGGCGAGAAATGTTTGACGCAACCTAAAAATCCGAGCGATAGAGTCGAAATTCGTTAGGTTTTGAAATTGCAGACTGGTTTGAAAATCTTGCGCACAGTCGTGTGAGAGTGACGAGGAGACCGAAGATGGTCTTTCCGATATGTTGGGCCTGTTGGGCTCATTTTTAGTCAGCCCAATAATCCTTGCAAGTTTATTTGTAGCTCTCTCTCTCTCTTGATCTAAGCTTGCCTCTCAAACCAATGATTGTCGAACATGAGAGATCTAAGCTTATTTCCCATTAACGAGACCTCAAAATCTGTTGCGTGACAAAGGCTTTTACACTAAGCAACAACAATATCTCATCAAACTTTCTTCAGACAAAGAAGGCCAAAGACTTTGGCTTGCATGTCTTTTTTACATCTAATAACAAAAAAATGTCTCTCAAGCCATTGACTTTAAACCCGGCAAAGAAACACAAGGTTGCTCTGTTTCAGTCATGGGGGCTCATAAGCTTCAAATTCCAGCACTGTCATGAATTAGCAAGAGCACAATGCCAATACCGTGAACACAATATCGACAAAAAACGTTAACTTTGAAAAACAAAGATCCTTTTTTTTGTTTACAAGACGATCAACCGAACGATCTGCCCCATATACTTAAATGCCTTTGCAGTTTCCTTCAAGCATTTGTTCTTCTCCTCCCGAGTCCAATGCTTTCATCATTTCCCAAAAAAGCATCAAAAAGTCAGATCAAAAGTATATACAAGTTTTAAAAAGCAAACTGGAGTAATGAAAGACAAATCTCACCTCTCCAAGCACGTTGACCTTCTCACGGACTCCTTTAAGCAAGTCTTGTGCATCACCTTCCCATCTATTGAACTCCAGCTCTTTCCCTTCTAGAAGCTTCTCAGATACCTTAGTGAACCAAGTTGCTCAATTTACATTTTGAAAAACCAAGCAATGATGGTCGTAAAATCAACGGATATATCAATAGAACGATGGAACCAGAACATGATTTCTAGAGATTATTGATACATCTTGTAAATATGAAGACAAAAGGAGTAAGCTTCGTCTATGGTTGATTTGGGTTTAGGATCTCATTGTTTCTCTTTCTGTCTACCTTTCTCCTTCTCATTCTAACAAAACTGAGCTGCTACTGTTAGACATTTGCAGTTGAAGAAGAACTCTTCTGGTGCTATAATTCATCATCTTCAAGCAACTTACGGTTCTCTTTCGTCTACCATTCTCCTTCTCATTCTTATCAAACAACTCTCTAATACCATTGTTATAACCTCAAGCTCTCCTGAATCCACTTATATATATATACTAATCTTTCAACCTCAAACTCTTGTAATGTTATAGAACTTTTATGAAACACTTTTATCAGATAAATTCATCATCCTCAAGAAAGCTTACCTGTTTTACTATAACTTGACCACCAGCAATGTGTGAGAAGTAGATACTGTAGAAATGAGAAAGAAACAAAGCTGCGTTTTCACTTGCTTGTTCTTCCAAGTACTTTGCATACGAAACTCCTATCTGACTTGGCTCAGGGATCTCCAGATTTTGTGCTCTAAACCATTCTAGATCCTTCTCAAGACCCTCACATCGCTCTAATCCTGTTCTCCTAAAGTAAGCATCTTTATAATTGCCCAAAACCCATAAAACCCAAATCATTAACAAATCCATACAAAAGAGAAATTTATTTCAAAATTTGAGAAAGGGGATTTCAGGTTTCTTACAGGAAACATCCTCAGATTCGTCTACAATTCGTTCGATGGTATCGAAGACAAGCTTGCTATCGACCAAGAAGTTAAGTAACCCTTCCTTGCTCGGACTCCAAGTCTCTCCTTCCAATTCATCATCTTCATCTTCTTCTTCGTTCTTATCGGTTTTCGGATCCAATTTCTTTCCTTTAACGTTGCGTAATCTCATGGCGACGAACCTCATTTCCTCAGTTATCCCAACGTTTTCTCCAGGGTACTGTTTCCTGTACTTTGTCCTCTTCCTCTTTGAGCTGCTCGGCGCAGTCATGGGTGACGAAGAAGAACGACATGGATTGAGGATAAGGTTGTTTCGGTTTCTATGAGTCGGGAAAGAGATAATAGAGGTGCGAGAATGGTGTTGAAGAAGAGAGAGACCTAGCTTAAGAGGTGATGATGAGTGTAATTGAGTTGTTTGCTCCATCAGAGAAGCCATTGATTCCAACGAAACAAAAATTCTTATTTTGAGGATTTTGTATATTTAAGACAATTTCTCTCTGTTTTGTCTCGACGTAAGAGCAAGACGGCGACAATGAAATTGAAACCCTCAAAAATTTTACAAACAACAAATTAACAATTTCTTTTTCTTTTTCATTACTTCAGAGCTTTACACAGAGACATGGGCAAATGTTAGTTTTTTTTTTTCTTACAAATCACATAACCTAAGCTAAAAAAACCCATTTTTATGGCCTAAAAGAGGATTACAGATTCTATCTTTTAAAACACTCTTTCAGTCATTGGGATCTATACCTTTCTCAGCTTCTGTTAACTGATCATTATAATCATCTAACAAGTAATCACAAATCTCCAGCAACTGATCTGCTAAAGGCGGTATTCCCGGGTTACGCCCGTCGTTGTAAAGATGAGCATTGAACTTGATCTGCCACACGTCGTGTCTAAACTGCTCTCTGTCTCTGTACTCTATCTTCCTCACCTTATCCCGGATTGTCGAGAGATCCATCGGGCGTTTCACAACGTCGAGATAGTCCGGAGCCTCCTTCTTCGTTACCGGTTTCAAGAAGAGCCGTGACACTTCTTCTTTAAGCCTTAGTGTGTCCACTATGGTCTCCAAGATGTTCGCTAGGCCAACCTGAATAGAGGAGAGAAAACAAAAGATGAGTTGCATAAAGCTCATAGGCATCGTGTATCAATTGATTTCATCCATTAAAACTTCAAGATCTCTCTTCATTTTCTGGCAAGACAAGAGAAATCTAAATGGAAGAGAATTTTTACCTCTCCTTTTTTGCGTCGTTTTGGTTGAGGCGCATAGTCTGCACCATTTACTTCAAAGTCGGAGACATAACGGCTTCGGACGTTCCGGCCTCTCTCCGGCAATCTTCTATCGTTTCTACGAGGAGGATAATCTTCTAGATACCCTTCTACTAACTCGGGTTGCAGCTTCGTCTTCTTCTTCTTCTTCTTGGCTTTTTGTCGTTCCTCTTCCTCTCTCTCACTCCGTATTACCTCTTCGTATCTTCTGATCTCAGCTATCTCATTGGGTTCTTCTGATACAGTCATATCATCATAGTCTCTTCTCGCCCTTGGCCTTCCCGTACTTATCTCCTCTTCTTCCCACCATACTCTATCTTCTTTTGGTCTCCGCTCTAGAGAGTTCTCTGGCAATCTGAAGCTCTGCTGTCTCTGAAAACCCGCCAGTTCTGCCATTCTTTTTGTTTTCCGTGACTCAAACCGTGGACTCTCTTCAAGACTACTCATATCATGATCAGTTATCTCTTTCGAACGTTTTATAACAAGTTTCTTCTGAGGCTGTTCTCTTTCTGTAGGCGGCCGTATCACGAGATGAGGCCTACGAGATTCAGCTTGATCTCTATCCATGCTTAATGATGGCCGCGGAATAGAGATCGTGTGCCTGCTTGAGGCAGCGTGATTTCTCTCTGCACTAGACAAGGGTTGTCCAGAAACAGAAGGCTTGTGAGATTTGCTCTCCCCTCTCTCTCCGCTATATGCAGGCATCAATGATTGCGAAGGTCTGTCAGATTCAGCCTTTGATTCTTTAGGTTTTGCCTTGCTTGAAATCGTGAGTTTGCTGATCTTAGATGTGGACTTAGTCCCAGTGTCTTTGTCAGACATCGCTGCTTGCTCAGAACTTCCTGGAGCTTCTGAACCAGGTTTATCTGACATGGTTCCAGCCGGGGTACCATATCTAAACCTCAGAGGGAGACCCCCAGTTTTCGAAGTCGCATTATCTCCCTTCGGAGCTTCATCTACAGAAACTTTCATTGCACTTTTTGGCGCAGCCTTGCTGTTCTTGATAGGTTTCAGCTTGGCCTGACCTGATAGTTCTGAAGTGCTCGGTTTTCCTACAGACTTCTCCATATCTATACCTTCGGGCTGTGATTCTGTATTTTCTCTGTATCTTGGGCAGTGTTTGTTGGTTCTCATGTGTCCATGCTGGTCATGAAGATAATAGTCAAAACGCTTTCCTCTTAAGAAGAAGCTTTGGATTAATAATCTAGTCTAAAAAGTAGGTATACCTGACCACAGGCTCCACAAACAAAATTCTCTCTCGCCGATTTCTTTTCCTTGAATACCTGGTTTAGACAAGAACGCCTCCGGATGACACAAAGGAAGTAGAATATATTAACTTTAGTTTATACATGTTGTACTGATTTGATTGTACCTTTAGGTTTTCGTTCAGTATTTTGACCTTCTTCAACGGACCCAAAGAATTGCTGCTCTCTTTTACCTGTTTACTTTTGGGGGTCTTAATAATAAGGCTATCAACCTGTCAATGGAGGGGAATCCAAGATACAAGTTTGTCAACACACGCAAGACCTAAAGGTTTGACACAGTAATCCGAAAAGGTAAGAGCAAGAGAGTACTGACATTTCTGGTGTCTTTGACGGTACTCTCATTTACTAAGAAAGATGTATCAGGTTGGGTGGCAATAGGTTTCTTGTCAATGACCGTGGCCTTTCTTACAGGCTCAGCAATCTGAAAACCTATATTGGGCCGTGGAGGAGGAAATGATCCCCTTCCTTCTCCTACAGCTTTTATCTTCTTCTTTTTCTTCTTCTGATCTTCCTCTACAATAAGCATATCACCAGTTAGTGATTCATTAACAAATAAGTCTTTAAGCTAGTAGCACAAATGCTTTGTTGAAAGCACGTACCTTGCATCAGCAATCGGCATAACTCGGCGTATTCAGTAGCTTCATCTTCAATTTCTTCGTCTGTCTCAACTTGAGATGGCCGCCGTCTCATCTTGAGACCCTTGACTCCATCCAACTTGTCATTCTTAGACATGCTAGATTCTTCCCCCTCCCCACCTTCCTCAGCATCAAGTAGATTTTCCAGATCTCCAGCAAAGGAGTCCAAGTCACTGTTCGCCTCATTGTCACTTTCATTCTCATCACCATCAAAAGCTGAAAGGGATGAAAGTTGCCTATCCCAAATCTCCTGACACTTTTCTCGGGCCTGCTGTTGCATCTGCAGGAAAGACATTCTCTGGCCACGGGCATACTTGCCTATCGTTGTAGGGTCCACCTTAACACCAGATGCCGCCTGCTCACTTGATAGCTTCCGTATCATAGCTATACGATGCCATCGAGTTTGCTTGGCAATTATCTCATCAGGGACATTGAACTTGATAAGAACCTATGAAGAGAAATGGGTTTTACTTTAGAAGAAGTCTAGAAGAAATGGGCAACTTGTAAGAAAGATGTCCTCTTAGGTTCCTTGACATCCGAAATAAAGAAGTGTACCTCTCGAGCTGCTTCCATGCTTAATCTGCGAAGATCAGCATCTGTACCAGTCACAGTTGGGGCTCCACGACCAGCGGCTGCCTTTTTCTTCATATGCCCGGCTGCAGCTGGTGCTTTTGGTGCAGCTTTCACGTAGCTGAATCCTAGACCCCGTCCAGACGGATCGCCAACCCCAGTGATTTCCAAACGCTCTATGTTTGCTCTATCCTACTCAAACCAACAAACGAAAATGAGATATATGAGCATAGAACCGGCCAAGTAACTAAAGCATGAGCGATGAATGATCAGAAGAATCAAATCCACTTCCACTGACAAGATTCGGTAAGACTCTTAACAAAAACTAGTGTTGATAAGAAAGTACTAGTAATGTTACACCCTGGCGAATCTATAATGACCATGCCTTTCACGGATTATAGATGACTAACTCCTAAGTTCTTAATATGACATATAGATAAGAACTCACTGGCTATGTAACTCCCCAATATAGATAAGTGATGCTCACCTGATTTGTACAAGAAACAAAATTACTGCTTAGATTCCATGGAGTTATCTGCAACTCCCTCTCAATATGTGATGCAGCGGCAAGAGCAATAGCTTCGTCTGGGAGCTGAGTCAATGCAGCTGATATGCTGGCGGGTAATGTAAATCGGGTGATCCCTAAATGTTTGAGCCGGTACAGCCCAGCTAGCATACTCTCGTAGGAACACACCTAAGCCAACAAAATACAGAAAACCATGCATCTTAAAGACTATATTTCCAGTATAGCTCTCAAAAGCTCATTAACTGCAACTCTGAATAGTGGTGACAGATGGCGTGTATTTCAACAATGAAATGAACTCAAACGAGAAACTTACATGCTCTGGTGCCACCAGCTTTTTAAGCTCATTCTCAGGTGGAATCTGAAATTCATTTTTCCTGTACCAACAAGGCTGGCCATTTTTATCCCTCTGCAAATTGTACATTCATGTAAGAGGCCAGCACGATAATACTTAAGCATGATGACGCAGAAAAGAAAGAAAAGTGAGAAAGCACAGAAGTGAGAATTTAATGAGATACCTTCAAAACAGCAAAAACTTTCATGTTCTTCCTGACGACGGCATCTGTTAGGTTAGAAAATAAGAAAGACAACTCATCTGCAGCAATTGGGTGGTGCAAACCACGCTTCGCAAATTCCCGGTACACATAGACCAACATCCTGTTCACCAAATAAGTCTGTAGATTCTTTGATCCAGGAGACATGACTTCCATGCGAGGTTCCTGGAAAATATATAATCTGAGCACGCCGATTTTATGAAACTAAAGCAAAATAAGCTGCAGATTGGCACAATTAAATATACTGCAGGTTAAACTCATAATCAGATTCTTGCGACTTAAACACAGCTGAAATGAGCACCTCACAACTCTCCGATCACTGGAGTACCTTCCCCAAAAATATCTACTTGTTCTAGATCTGTTAGCTCATCATTTACTATCTTCCATCACTTATCCTAAAATTTTGCTAGGACACCGACGCCATAGTATTAATGAAAGTAGCAAAGGTAAGTGGTGACGCAAACGATAACATAATTTAATTCGCTCAAACTACTAAGCTCCACTGTTACGCTACTAATTCACAAGCATGAAACATTTCGATTCATTCTTGCTTGTATGTATCTACAGATATGCAGTAACACCTTTAGACCTTCTACGGACATAAATTTTAAGAGAGGGATCTTATGAAAAGGCAAACCTGTTGTCCAACAACAACTATCTTGTCAATACGCCTTAGAGAGAGCTTTCCTTTAGGAGACCGGACCAACAAATAATCTGTTGATTGCAATCTTTGGGGAAAAATAGGTGCTTTATACATGTTTGTTTCAATAGATGACTGACTGCAACCAGCGTGTATCTCCCCAAGGAAAGGGGATTTGTCTCCAGGTTCTAGAGTTATCACATTCCCTAAAGTGTCACTTTGATTGCGCAGCAAGTTCCCACGTTGATCCTCTGGCGATGACTTCTGGTAATATGTGCACAAATTTGCACCCATTCCTGCATTGCTGAGCATTAACGGCCTCTCCTCGCAATACCTACACAGAACAATGAAACAAAATAAGGACTTGCAATAAAAAAAAATTCCTGCTGAAATAACCACGAGAGTAAAAAAAGTAGCATGTCATAAAAAGAACAAAACAAAAAAATTCCTGATTTTACAGGAAGTATTATATAGAACTTTTTCTTACTCCATCAAGAATACATGGCCATCTTTAGTAGACAGGTCAGATTTCTTCTTGAATGCCCCAGGAGGTCTCAAGGATTTATTTTCACCAGGCAGCTTTTGTGCCCATGGCCACGGGTGTACTTTGGTACGTACAACATGGACCAAGGAATTTGGTTGAACATTTTGTACAGCAAGAGACTTTTCATCCTCAAGTTCCTTTCCCATATAGAACATCTTCACTGCTTCTGTTTCCTTAAAATCTGCAAAACAATTGTAGCAAGTGAGCACCAAAGTTTGTCAGTGAAACAAAGAGAATTGCGTGTTCTCCAAATAGAATCCATGTCATAATGCGGTAGAAAGAAAAGTGAAAGGAAAACACAACCTAGCTTCCTCGACGCCTTGGCTTTTAAAGAAGAGACAGATTCCTCTATGCCAACGTGTAGCTTGCTTCCTTTACCCCCCAGGCTCTTAACTACAATTTTCATGGATCCTCGGGTGGGTAACTTTCCTTGCTGCTTGATGGCTAGCTCATTATCATGTGGATACCACAAAGCTTTGGGCCGGTGAAAATTTGCTATGTCTTTACTGCAAAAATCAACTCAAAACATTTTAAAAAATGGATGTAAACAAATAAACATCTAGAGTGGGAAACATTTTAGAGTACACAGAATGCAAATACCAAATGATATCAAAATAGGAATGCCCACTTACTTGCTCAATTTACTCTTCATCGTCTGCAATTTAATTGCTGGCGCTGAGTGAAATACTCTCAAACTATGAACGCCGGATTTATTATTATTTGCTTGCAGTTGCTGAGAGCTTTTCCCATTCATATAGAACTTGTCATTGGAAATATTGAATTGCCACCCAGAATTTGTTTCACAGCCTTCCTGAAAGCTTTCATCCTTGGAATTTGAAGACCGGGATACAATCATAGCTCCAGCATGAAGTTGAAGATTTTTGCTTTCCTCATTATCCAAAATTTCAAAGACCATTTGCTCATCTTGAAGATCAAAAATTAGTTTAGACCTGCTCAACTCTTTATCTGAATCCCATATTATACTATCTAACCATGCCTCATCCCCCATATCCCTCTCTTGCAACGCAAGCCTGCTAAAGCGCCCAAGAGCATCCCTTTCACGACGCTTTATATTTTCCAGTCCGGCGTCGTCATTTTCACTAAGATGATCCTCACCCCACTGGGATTCTAATCTTAGGAGTTGTGGATGACGTCTACGTTGGTTACTGGCCTCGTCTGTAGACTGGGAACCTCTTAAGCCGAAAGACTCCAAGAAATTGGCAGAAAAAGGCACAAGCATATTCTTGTCAGCTTGAGCTTTCTCTCTAGAGTTCATCACATTCAAGCTTTCTTGTTCAGTCTCTGAATCTGTTCCTTGAACCAGCATACCTTCTGACTCAAGTTCAGATTCAAAGCCCTCACCAGAAATACAACTCATTTCAGGAGAATTCTCCCAAAGAATTCGATCTTCCCATTCATGCTGGTCAAGAGGAAAAACTTCCATTGATAACTGAGACTGGCACAAAGATGAATCATCTTCTATTAAGTTCTGCTTCAACAGTTCACCCATGATACATGAATCCCTTCCTAACTTGTTATATTCTCTTGATTCTGGTGTGATGCCTCCAATTGTGCCAGATTTTACCAGCTGTAAACCCTCCCTAATTGGAAAGGGAACATCCAGCTGAATCAATTCAGCTTGTTCTACATGAGTTTCCATCCTACCATGAGTCTTCAGGAGTACCTCCTCATCATCTTCAACAAGCTCAGAAATATCCATAGATTTGTATCTATCTGTACGAAAGAAAGCTATGATGTAAGAGCTCCACATGAACAAATAAATTACAAACAAAAGGAAAAAAGAAGAATGCAGAGACAACAGAAACAATAAGACAAAGGGAGAAATGGAAAAAACATGAAGTTCCCTGGAAAAGAAAAAGAATGTAGCACATCATGTTAGTGGCACCAACTACACAGAACTAGTTCATTCTTTCCAAGAAGAGATTGAGCAACATAAGAGGAAAAGTTATCGTGTTTTCAACACCTAGTGGCCTTTAGAATTGAAGAGGTAATACAAATCCAGAGAACTTTATTTGATGTTGTAAATTTTAACAAACCCATGGACAGCACAAGAAACTCATACACGGTTTGAGAAGAAACTAATAGGAAGAACATTCCAGATTACATACCTCTGTAAGGGACATATCTATGTTCTCTCTTGTCCCTTTTCTGTGGTGGCTCATGGATAGCAAATATCTCAGAGAACTGTAAGATGACCATACCATCTTCCACATACAGAGTAGGCAGTGGGGTGGTGCCTTTCCCATCTAATGTACTTTCCAATAACTCATCCACCTCCTCCTGAATGTTTTGATGAGATCACTAACAGAACAAAATCATCCCACAGCAAAAATATGTTGTGTAAGACACAATTTCCCTTTTTGGGGGGGTGGGGGAAACTGACCTCCTGGGCATCTTCTGTGTCCATCGGATCCTCGTTTTCAAGGATTTTAGCCTCCTTTTCATATTCCGAGACTTTGTCTTCCTTTAATAAAACTGCAAAGTAAATAAATTTTATGTTTCATAATCAGTAGGTGAAGATGCATATAAGAAAATTTCCAAGTCATCTCAAGGACGCACAGTCAAATGTGCTAACTGGTTAGTACAAGGAACGGAAGATTTCTAAATGCAAACCTGGTTCCCTCTCTTCAGTCTCAAAAGCTTTTGCAACTGGCGCATGCTCCTCTTCTTGTTCTTCTTCCTCGTCATAATCGTCATCGTCAAACACAGAAGCTCTGGAATTTAAACTACCCAGAGGAACTGCATTCGAAAAATATTCGTTTTTTGGCAGTAGATGATCTTCCTCACTAACTACTTGAACTTCGGGCCCGTCATACTGTTCATCAATATCCTCATAATCAACAGCATCCTCAGCTTTTCTATCATAATCTACACGAAATGTCATCAGTGTCAATGAAGCTGACGACCAGGATATGGTAGTGTAAATAGTATCAGTACGTAACTGCTATGGGCTGGGCTTGTTGCATACTTAAGGATCTCAAACATAAGCCATTAACACGTTATAAACGATTTACGCAGAACAATGTGCACTAAACTAACCAACAGTAGATAGATTATGATTTATGACTAGAACCAAAGTGGAAGAATGCAAGAGCCGTGTAATGGGATCGTCCATAGAAAGTATCTAGCAGGGTTCCTAGTAATAGTAACTCCTCAAGTATGGTTTTAAAGAAACGGTCTAATGCACTCTAGAAGTTAAATGGGCGTACTAATAGAAAATAAAAACTGCATGAGATAGACGACCCTGGCCGACAACATCACCTTGCTCAGCTGGATCACGTGTTGTACGATCTGATTTTGCCAACAACTGTTGAGTTTCGAAACACCATTTTTTGGCATCCCAGTACAACAAAAAGAGGATTAAAATCACATAAAGGACTCGCTTTTCACTCAGCTATACAATTTAGAAAACAAAATGTAAGAGTGCATGGAATGTTACATTTATATCTGGTAGAGATGAACCCAGCTGATCTGCCAATGCAGAAAGATGTTCTTTGGCGTCCTGTAAAATTGAAATGATATCATTGGCACAGGTATGCTTGGTGGAGAATTACAGCTCAATAGTTTAACAAATACAGATATCCATTTGCAGTTACTAAGCCCAGAAAGCAGAGACAGCAAAAGAGAGACCAATTTTCCCATAAAATAATGTCTTCAACAAGGTCATCAGACTGGAGAAGAGAAAAATAATTTACCTCATCAAGATAATCAGCATCCAGGTCCCCAGAGTTATCAACATTCCCAAAGATAAAACCCAGGTTAAATCCCCTGTTGTTGTCCTCATCATCATCTGCAAAGGACAACATGCAAATATTGGTAAAAACGGGGAATGCATGTGATAATCATCATGAAAATCACAAGGCACGCATCCAATTTCTGATTTCATACGGACACTACTTATCATTGGATGCTTGTTCTCTCTATCATCTAATCAGGCTGCAGTTCTAAGCCTCTATCTAATAAAACTACTATTTCAGTTCCGATCCTACAAACTATCTTCCCATTACAAATTCAGAAGAAATTAGGATCCTAACTACACCCTAAAACATGTCCAGGATCACTAAAGGCTGCTCCTTTTCTACTCAAATAAACTCAATCCCAAGTTCAAAAACCGTAAAACAGTCATGAGCTGACCTAACAGTAGGTAGATATTAACTATTGAGAAAGGTAAAAGCTACACGAAGGACATCTCTGGTTTCAGATACTGTAGCAATCCAATATTCCACACGTGAAGAACACAACTTCGATAAGAGTCTGCATAAATATTACCTGAGGAAGTCTCGTTGTGGGAGCCCTTGCCGTTGGATTCAGCCATGTTTGAGCTTCAATTGCAATGGTGAAAACCAAGAGAAGGCAAGACAAGTTTCCTTCCCAGATCCCGAACCATTAAAACGAATCAGGGCTTCTCAATTGCAACCTTCAAGAGAAAAACAGAACACATTATACAATTGCAATCAACCTAACGGACCTCCGAGCAACAGCCAGTTTCGTTATCAAAACCCAAACAACAACTTCATCAAAAGCGACTAAATTTTCTTTACGAGCCAACCCAAATCAAAACCCCATTGGTCAATCTTGGAGTAAGCTGAGTTGCAATCAAAACGGGAGAAATTGGGAACACGATACCATTCACTGAACGTGATGTGGGTTGGGGGTCTTCCTTTGAAACCCTAATTGAGGGTATAAGTAACCTTCGCCGGAGAAGGTGACCAGCTCAATTGGAGGAGACGGCGAGTTATCGGAGAGAACGTTCCGAGGTAGCAAACGCTCAAATCGGAGGAAAAGAAGAGAAATCGTGAAGGGACCAAGACAGATTATGAGGGCATTTATAAAAGTTTATAACCCGACCCGAATGTTAATTCCGGGTGTAATTACTTGACCCGGAATAATCAATTTGGTTGGATAAAGAAGTACATAAACTTTCTTAGCTCGGAAGATTTTACAATTGGCTGAGTTTTCTTTCTTAAATGTATGTATATATTTAATTATTTGTGATAATATACCCTTAAAACGAATTAAATTTTAAGAGAATAAATAACTTTTTTAATATGAAAAATCTTTATAATTTTATAAATTTCATACATATTCATGATATTTTGGAATTTGTGCTAACAAAAATTGTAAAACAATCATGTCTCATAAACAAACACTAGAGTTTAATTTATTTTTAAATATGAGATTTTAGTGGAATTATAAATTATAAAACAATAACACGAATTTACTACAAACATACAAAAAAAAAAGATAAGTGTAATTATGATGTACCTCATCATAGTGAAAATAAGTGTTCTAGTTTGAGATGGATTATTAACAACTTCAATGAAATATTTTTTTTATGGTGGTAGGGGTAAGTTATAAAAATGATATATTCTGAAAATGGTTAATTCATACTCGAACTTATATAAATGTAGTCAATTAGAGCATAAATCATTTTGGTATAATAATTAATACCCTAACTTCTTCTTTTTTGGACAAAAGTACTTTAACTTCTAAATTTTTGAATATTAATAGAATTGACTATTTTTCCGTTTGTCAATACTTCTATTCGATTAACGACAATAATTATGCCATCAAATCTAAATCTTTGTTGAAACAGTAAAATTATATTTGTATATATACATAATTCAATGTTAGGTGTTTAGTGTTGTTAAATTTACTTATAAAATTATGAAAAAAATTATATAAAACCCCTTTTTATAACTCTAATATCAAAAAAAAGATATTTTATTTAACATGAATACTTTTTTTTTTACTTTTGTTTTGCTTGCTTTTGGTCAAGTCTATTTACTAATATACTTTTACTGAATCTAATAAAAGATAATTTTCACTTTTTATTAAAAGTTCAGTTTCTAGATCTTATCTATGAACCTTCTTTCAGCCACCATCAAAATAAAAATTGAATAAAATTCTATGATTAGAGAATCAACATCATTTAAAGAAAGTTTTTCTTTCTCTTTTATATTTCTTCTTTTCATCCTAATCAGTTTTAAAATTAGAATTTTCAACAAAAAAAAAATTTATATTGTTTAATAAGTTGTAAGTTGATATTTTATGTTATATAAACATGAAATTGATGTCTCTTACATGATAGCAAGGATTTTCTTATCTGTTTTCCGAATTTTTCGTCAATATGATTAGTTGCTTTTAATATATTTACTTATAGCAGTGAATGAGCCAAAATCAACATATGAAAAAAAATACTATAGACAAATTTTAGTGGATAATTTGTCATGAATAGATTATTATGTATACTATCTCTTGCTCTAAGTGTGTTTCATAAAATGCATATGAGGCTCATCCTTGCCAAGAGAACCAGAAAACTCATATCCATGTCCAATTTTCTCATGTTCATTCCTACATTTAAAAGTAACCTGCAAACCTTCAACAGATCTATGTCTATCTTTAGTCATCCATGCTACCATATTATTACTTTTCCACTATAACTCTTTCAAATACACAAAACATTTCAAAATATGACTATCTACAGAATAATTACATATAGTAACACTCACCCATCAATATAAAACAAAAAATTGCTTTGTATGTAATTCGTCCATCGATAATGTTCTACACATTTTTGTTCACATGTACTTGACATTGAAATTTTTTTAATCTATTTTTCATATCCATAAATAATATATTGACGTCTAGTTAATAGATAGATATAAAAGGAGAGTGTTACTGTATTTATATACTATTGTTCATAGTTACTATTGAAAATGTTTTTATGTATTAATGTATGGCTGAAGATACTCAAGCCTGAAGAGTTCTCGTGAGAATTATATGTTTTAGGTGAATGAATATTAGTGTGAACACATGAATATAAATCTATGGAAGATTACTTGTCTCAGAAATGACAATAAACTCTTTCATATTCAATTCATTCACTATTGATTTTTATTCTACCATCCTCATCAATAGTTATATTGTACAAACGCTCTTCCACTTTAATCATCTTTAATTTGATAGTCGAGACCTAGAACTCGGTAATTATTTTCAGATCTTTCTTGATTCCCATGATTTCATCTTTGTATAGTGGTATGAATCCATCAACAGTCGTTCAATGAATTTTTTCCATCTCATTTCGTACACCAGTAGCATAAAACCAGGATGCGTCTATGCTGATTTATCCACCTTAATCATCTTTTATTTTCTGATAGTCCAATAATAGGTGCCCCAAAAGCAATGCTATACGAGTCACGCTCGCCATCACTAGAAAAGCTCAAATACATACTTAATCTCATCATCGATTTAGTTATAGCTGTTGATTTGGTTTGTAAATGAATTTTAGGTTAAAATCCTAAAATGATGAAAGAGAGAAAGAAGATATTTTTTTTGGGATTCTTGCAAAAATGACCTAAAATTTGATTTGAATTGCAAATCTAACCCACAAAAATCACTTTCCCAACATTTGTCATTTTGTGTCCAAACAATCTTTCATAGTTTCAGTTATTCACGAAATTGTCATTATTTTTAATTAATTTCTTTTATTTTTGGAAATCCAAATGACCAACTAATACTCATCTTCCTCACTTATTTACGAAAATGCTCCGAAAGTAGACTTCTCTTGGTCCGAATGAAGTCTACTAGTCAACGTCCAAGTTAGTTTTGCAATTGACCGCATGAAAAAGTAGACTTCTTTTGGTCCGAATGAAGTCTACTCCATTTTCTTTGATAACAAAAAAAATGGAGTAGACTTCTCGAGTAGACTTCTTTAGAAGCAGGTCATTTTTGTAATTGACCAACCTTTGACTTTGTAGAGTAGACTTCTCGCAGGTCATTTTTGCAATTGACCAAAAATTCAAATATTTTTCAATTGCAAAAATGACCTGCGAGAAGTCTACTTTCGTAAGTAGACTTCTCGCAGGTCATTTTTGCAATTGACCAAAAAATCAAATATTTTACAATTGCAAAAATAACCTGCGAGAAGTCTACTTACGAAAGTAGACTTCTCGGAGAAGTCTACTTTTCATAGAGAAGTCTACTAATATTTTGGCAATTGCAAAAATAACCTGCGAGAAGTCTACTTTTATCCGAGAAGTCTACTTTTCTTGTTTTAAAAAAAAAATCATTTTTATACAATATATAACGAATTTTTAAGATTTTCGCGATCCTAAGCTTTTGTTATTAAGTTTTCTTGCTTATGTATAAGTTTTGCATGTTTATATTTTATAGGTATAGTCGAATGAGTTTTCATGTTTTATATGATACTTAGCTTATTAAGAGTAGACTTCTTAGTCTACTCTAGAAGTCTACTATGTAGACTTCATTCGACTTTCAGAGAAGTCTACTTATGCAATTTTGATGTCTAATGTGGTTTGGATTTTGTTCTTTTTCACAGAGAATGGCTCACATACCCACTGTTTATGGAGAATGGGTTAAGAGTGAATCAGTGTGGCAGTTCGAGGTGGATAATAGCAAAGGAGGGCAAATGTTGCTCTTAAGAGATGGTTGCACACATGGTGAGCTTCTTGGTGAATGTTGGCAAAGGAGGGCGAATAGCAAAGGAGGGCGAATGTTGTCACCTTTAAGTTATGTAAAATTAATGTCTTTAAGAAGTCTACTCGAGACAATGAGAAGTCTACTTCAGAATTCTACTCGAGACAAGAGAAGTCTACTCGGTTGACAAGTTATATGATATAAATGAGAGAAATGTCCCTCTGAATCACTTTTAAGTTATGTAAAATTAATGTCTTTTAGAAGTCTACTCGAGACATAAGAAGTCTACTCGAGACAGGAGAAGTCTACTCGAGACAAAAGAAGTCTACTCGGTTGACAAGTTATATGATATAAATGGGAGAAATGTCTCTCTGAATCACTTATAAGTTATGTAAAGTTAATGTCTTTAAGAAGTCTACTCGAGACAGGAAAAGTCTATTTTGTAGAATAGATAAACATAGATAATTTAGGAATCTGATACAAAACATTCAATGCAATTCAACATTACATAGAAAATAACCCTCTAAACAAACAAACATTTAATGATCACTAGTTATAAATCCTAAAACTGGCATAAGAAATTACTAGTAAACTAAAATCTCTGAAAATTATGTATGCAACTGAAGTCTGCTTGAGAAATCTGCTCGAGATCGAGAAGTCTACTCGAGAAGTCTGCTCAAGATCGAGAAGTCTACTCGAGAAGTCCGCTCGAGATCGAGAAGTCTACTCGAAAAGTCTACATTCAGATCTGCAGAAAAAATCAACAAAATTCAGCTCTGTAACAATAGCGAAAAATTTAGATCTAGAACAAAATCTAATAAATTTATACAACAATAAACTCAGATCTACAAATATAAACTTAGATCTACAACAATAAGCTCAAATCTAAACTAATAAGCTCGGATCTATAATAGTAATCTACTATATTTATAACATTCAGATCTGTACAAAAATCAACAAAATTCAGCTTTGCAATAATAACAAAAAATTAACAAAATCTACAAAATTTATACAACAATAAACTCATATCTACAAAAATAAACTTAGATCTACAACAATAAGCTCAAATCTATAATAATAAGCTCAGATTTGCAATATGAACACAAAGCAAACAAAAAGAGGAACACAAAAGCTCAGATTTGCTTACCACTACCATAACCTGCAAGTTAGAGGAGGTTGAATGCAAGATAGAGAGGATGGAGAGGATATTGATAACAAGAGAGGAAGGAGAAGAAATTCATGGCCAGAGAGAAGGGAGAAGAGAGAGAGGCGGTTTTTTAGATAGAGAGAGACTTTATTGTTAATACAATTAGGTTAAACTCTCCTTATATATGTAGAAACAAATTCGTGTAAGTAGACTTCTCCAAGAAGTCTACTCGAGAAGTCTACTCGAGAAGTTTCTTAGTATTGATTTTTATCATAATTTATCTATGATGATTTAAATTGATTATTTTCTGTCAAATTTTATTTTTAATAGGTGTAAAAAAGTATATATTTGTTGTTATGTATCTAATTTTTTTTTTTATCAAATTATCTTTTATGATTTTTAAAATTAATTGTAAACATATTATTAAAGAGTAGACTTCTTGGAGAAGTCTACTCGAGAAGTCTACTTAACTTCTCGAGTAGACTTCTCTGGGATAAAATAGTAATTGAGGTTGGCATTTTTTTGTTTGGTCATAAGGGTTAAAATTGTAATTTCACTATCCCTGTGAGTTATTTTTGTCAAACATGCAATAGGGGGTCTAGTTTTGCATTTCAACTCAAGTTTTGAGTCATATTCAGCAATTCCTCCATTTTTTTTAGGAATTTGTAACAATTGATAATGAAGGTGAAAAAAGAATGAAAACAAAAAAAAAAGAAAGAAAGAGAAAATGGGAATTGCGAGTGAGTCGAGAATATATTATCTCTCCTCTCACCTCTGAGTGGCAATAATTTTCTCCCCTTAGTTTTCTCCGTCAACTTCTCTCTTTCCGATCTCCCTCTCCGGTGTGCGGTGCTTCTCACCGCCACCGTGGGAGGGACTGCCGCTCTTCCTTCTTCATTTTGGCTGCCTCATCGACAGTTTTCTCTAAGTCCTTTGTTGTAGATCTGAGTCATTTCTCATGGGTTTTTGATGGTGCTCAGGTGTGTCTCGGCTGCCTGCTTTGCTCGTCGTGTGGTATCAACAGCCTCTCCACCTCCTCTTATTGCTTGGGAGGGCTCGCTAAGAGATGTGTGAAGCTTTTGCTCCGCCAGCGTGTTTGTGGTTTCGTTGGTGGTTTTCCATCTCGGGAGCTCGTAGCCGAGGCAGTTCTTTCTCTCCTGAGATAGATTTGTGCGCGGGTTTGGTTAGGGTCGTGAGGACAGCCTCTACCTCTCTTTGCCATCTTTCTTTGTCTCTCTTGCCTTGGTTCCTCTACGGCGGCTCTCGGTGGTCCTCACATCCAAGTGATTTGGATGATCTTTTGCGGTTTAGGTCTCGTTGTGGCTTGGGTTCTTGCTGTGTTTTTGCCTTTCTTTGGCAGCAACAGTGGCAGTTCTGCTGGTGGCATTTTCCTGCAAGCTTTCCCCTTCGTCAGGGGTTGTTTGGACGGAGGTTCTTAGCAGTAGTTGGCTCGGTTTGGGCTGCCCTGGCGACGGCCGGTGGTAAGGTTTCATCTTTGGATTTGTTGTTCAGAGCTCTTGTCCATTTTGTTTGCAAATTGTGACTCTCTGTCTGTCTTCTCCTCCGGGGTGGCTCCTCATCCTGCAATGTTTGTTCTGTTTCAAGTCTGGATTGCAACGGCTCTTGAAGGGCTCAATTTCAGTGGGTTACGGTCTAATTCTTAGCTTTGGTAGTGACTTGGATTTGAATAGAGGCGGCGGGTTTTGCTTAGCAACCAATTTTTTTCTGCGGGAAATGATTTTCGCAGCTTTCTCAAGCTCAGGAATGGCGGCCAGAGGCGGTTTCTCTGGTGAGCCTAGAGACTCCAGTGCCGCCAGTGAGTGGTTGATGGGTCTAAGCGTTCTCATTTTTGTGCTTGTCCTCGGAAAAGCTGTAGGCAATTTTCTGTGCGAGGTTTTGAGGGCTGGCTTCAGGGGTGGATTGCTCGTGGCAACGATGATGAGGACTCGAGTTTCTAGGAATTGCAAGTGCAAATTTCTGAGTGTAGGTTTTTGAAATCGGTGTTTCATCTCGGAAACCTGCCGATCAGCTTTTATGTGTACTTAGCTTCTTGTTTATTGATCTTTCTTGTTTTGTTTGTAATTTCTGGCTTTGCTTTTAACTTTTTTCTTTTTTTTTTTAACTTCTGTCAAAAACGAGAAAAGTATAAAATTTCACATTCATACCGGAAAAGAAAAGAGAAATTGATAAACAATGTTTTTTATTTTTCATTAAAGATAATATAATTTTTTTTATATTGAAAATACTTTAATTAGAGAAAGTGTTCTTTTATATTAATTTTTTTTAGAAAGTATTTTTCTATAAATGTCTCTAATTATAGGATCTCTTATCTAAACAATCATTTGTATCAATTTTTTGGTATAGGCAAAGCAGATTCTGAGCTAAGCAAAATGAAATATTTGTCTTAGTCCCTAATTTTTTTTCAAATTACTAATACATTTAAAATAAATTTCTAAATTTTATATTAGTTGTTAATAAAAAACCCCAAATTTTTTAATTAAGATTTACAAATATTTTTTAAAAATATAACAAATAAATTTTATTTTTATTTTTATTTTTTATTTGAATTCCCAAACTTTCAAGGTCAGCCATATAGCACAGATGTTTCATGTTTGTTCAAATTTTGTAAACACCAATCGTAATTTCAAAAATCAATAAAATCTTTAGAACAACAAAAAATAAAGGGAAAGTGAAACAGTTGAATTTTACATATTATTCATCTTCTACGTCATCGAAAATAAGTTTCTAGATATACAAATCTAAACAAAATAGTAGCAACAAGTTAATAAATTCTTCATTCATGGTCATTATACGTGGATTGGCGAAAGATAATGGACATCTAACACCAACGCCACGTGCAATGTCCCTTACAAGTTTGGTGTTTTCTTTAAGGAGTTTTCTAAGCAGTTTTTGTGATTTTCTCTTCAATCTCACTCGACCGTCTCTCTCACTCAATCTCTCTCTCTCTTTCCTTTTCGAATCTAACAAAACAAAAACACTTCTCCGACGAATCTTCCGGCGATGGGCTGCGCCTCCTCCAACCTTCTGTACCAGAGCGATGACTTCTCTCAGCTCGCCGGCTGCCACAGCCACTTCGTCAAGCTAACTTCCACCACCTACGGCCTTCTCAATCTCGATCCTCCGCCGCCACAACCTTCCGCCGCCGTTATCTCCACACCCGCGACGCCGATGACTCCTCCCGAGTGATTCACTATCGTCGGTAAGGAGCCAATCACCATCGTAAAGTCGGAGCCGGAGGTTATTAACTTCTGGGAGCTAATGTCTGGCCTCGACGCCGATACTTGCCGATTCTCTCCTCTTCCGGCGAAACCTAATGTCTCCTCCGGCGGAGTAAACAAAGAGAATTCGTATCCCAATTGGAAAAACCCTAGGGATAAATCGGATAACGACGACGTTCTGAAACCGCTAGATCCGAAATTCGCGGAGGATTCGGAGAAGCTGTGTCCTCCAGGCGGCGGCGGAGAGAACCGCGTCGTGATCTACACGACGTCGTTACGCGGCGTGAGGAGGACGTTCGAGGCGTGTAACGCCGTTAGAGCTGCGATCGAGAGCTTCGGTGTAGTAATCTGCGAGAGAGACGTCTCGATGGATAGAGGATTCAGAGAGGAGCTAAAGAGTCTGATGGCCGAAGACGCGGCGGCGTTGTTGCCGCCTAGGGTTTTCGTGAAGGGGAAGTACATCGGCGGTGAAGAGGAGGTTATGAGATTGGTGGAGGAAGAAAAACTTGGGGATTTGCTCCGAGGGATTCCGAGGAAGAAAGATCGAGGTGGCGGTTCCTGCGGCGGATGCGGCGGTTTATCGTTCTTGCCGTGTTCTGATTGCAATGGAAGCTGCAAAGTGGTGGAAGGATGGGGAAACGACGCCGTAGTGGTGAGGTGTACGGAGTGTAACGAGAATGGTCTTGTTCGTTGTCCCATTTGTAGCTAAAACAAACAACTGTAATAATAATCTTTAGAATTTGGATAACTTTCTAATTTTTCCTTTTTCTTTACTCTCTGTGTGTGACAAGATTATGCTGAATCAGGGCAAAGATCTTGTTCCGGTAGAGAGATACAGTACTTTCTTTGTTAGATGGTTTACATAAGATCAATACAAAGCTGGGTCACAATGTGTTTAAAGATTTGGAGTTAGAAACCAACATCACGCTATATTATACTCTGGTCTAAGAAGCCAAAACAATGATCTTTATTAGTTTATTACTACTCTAAATCGGAATGAAACGAAACTGCATAAAGTGAATTGATTTACATCAAAAGCTAGAACAAAACATTAGTGTTGATGAATACTGTAAATATTTTTTTATGTGGTTTTAATTGTTTTATGTTTTATATAACTTAGTCGTTGTAAAATTTTTGACTACTTTATTTGTTATTTGTGTTATCATCCAAAAAATGAAAACTGTACTAATAAGAAAAACTTTTGATCAGGACTGAAAAGTAGACATATTACATTGATGGTTAAGAGTTTTGAACTCTATTTTCAACATTTTTGTCTTTCGCACTTGGGGTTGATTATTTGGGCTTTAATGGGCCTTTTAAATAGCAATACACTTAAAACGTCATATCCCCCATGCCATGAATGAAGTGAAAACTCGTGGTAAGTTTTTTAAAAAAGTTTTCACAACCTTCTGTAAATTTCTAATTTTTGTTTTTAAATGTCTCAGAAGTGAGAAAACGCGATTATTAATAATATCACCAATATTTTTCTGTGTCTAATGAATAGTTTAAAAATAACAAGTTTCTAGAATTTATGTGGATTTTCTGTAAATGAATAAGACACTTTATATATATAAAAATGTCTAATAACAAAGAAAATGCGATAAACAATGTCATTAATTATCTATATTATGTAAACTTAATCAACACAATAATAACCCATAAGTCTCTTCGTGGCTTGACACATCAGCATCTTCAAGGTTTTAGGAGATTGACACTTCAGAAAAAAAACACCAATAAAAACATTTCATTAATACAAGTCATCAATTTATTTTAACTTTTAAATTTAAACCCATTAAAAACTCAAATATTTTTTATTGTTAATTTTAGTTTAATTTTTTGGTCAAGCCCAAGCCCAAATAATAAATAACAGCAAATAAAAAAAATTGTTTTATTTTTTTAACAAACCCAAATAATAAATAACAACAAATAATAAAATTAAATCTTTGTTTTATATTTTTGCCAAACCGAAACTCAAATAATAAATAACAGCAAAAAAATTAAAATTTCTAACTATGTGTTTGCTTGATAGAGATGTATATGATTAAAGAAAGCGTAGACGCATCATCAACTATGCTTCCATAACAACAATGCAAAAAGCTTTATGTTATAAGAAACTCATACATCAGCAAAAATTTGAACCAATAAAAACATAACAATAATACATATTATTAACACATTAATAAAATTAATTTACTATTTTGCTGACCTATTAAAAAGCCCAAAGTTTACAAAAAAAATGGAAGGCGAAAGCAAATAAAGAGAAACTCAGACCACCACAGCTTGGAGATTCGCATTTCCACTGGTTACCGAGAAAAAAATTTCTTGGGTTTGACGGAAATAGAGAATTTCTTGGTTTTGGTAGAAAAATGTGGTTTTCAGTTTTGGTAGGAAAACATAGTTTCTCGGTTATGGCGGAAAAAAACGAATTCTCGGGTTTGGTGGCAAAATGTGAATTTTTGGTTTTAGTGAGAAATAAAAAAATTGATTTTGACGAGAAAATGCGAGGGAAATCCAACTTTTCAATTTTGACGAAAAATACGATTTCTCGGTTTTGATAGAAAAATGCAATTTTTCGGCTTTTGATGGATAATGTAATTTCTTGATTTTTGCGGAAAATTATAATTTGACAATTTTGGCAAAAAATGCAATTTCTCGGGTTGATAGAAAAGCAAAATTTCTCGATTTTGGCAGGAATAACAATTTTTTGGTTTTGATGGGAAATGCAAATTTTCAGTTTTTGACATATAATTTGATTTTTGGTTTTTGAGGGAAAATATGATTTCTTAGTTTTCGTGGGAAACACAATTTCTCAGGAGATAATGTAATTCTTGGTTTTTGCAGAAAATTGTAGTAGGGGTTATTAGTTCTTGTATTTTGGTGGATTTATAAATCTTCTTTGGATTTGATAAATTTATTGATTTCAAAATCAACAAAATAGAAAAAACTCAAATCCACTCAAATACCAAGGTTAGACCTTGTATTTGAGTCTTTGTATTTTAGTCATGAAAATCCTTCCAAATCCATTCAAATTCAATTAAAACACAAATCCTTATAATATTTAGATTCTAAAATGATAGAACCAATAACATTGTATTTCATTATAGATTTTAAAATCATAGAACCAATAACACTGTATTTCAATATAAATTTTAAAATACAAGAACCAATAACACTTAATTTGGTTTGGATTCTCAAATCCATTAAAATACAAGAACCAATAACACCTCCGTAGTTTATCGGTTTTGGTAGGAAGGCGTGATTCTTGATTTGACGAGAAAAATATTTTTTTCTTGTTTTGGTGGGAATAGACGATTTCTCGATTTTTGCGGGAAAAATATTTTTTTTTGGTTTTGAAGGAAAAATACTATTTTTTGTTTTTGCAGGAAGATGAAATTTTTTGGTTTTGTTGAAAAAACTTGATTTCTCTGTTTTGACGGAAAAACACAACTTCTCGCGGGAAAATGTGATTTTTTGGTTTTTGAGGGAAAATTCAATTTCTTTGTTTTGGTAGGAAAATGAAATTTCAGGTTTGACGAGAAAATAATTTTTTTTTTTTGTTTTGGCGGGCATAGGCGATTTCTCAGTTTCGTGGAAAATAATTTTTTTTGTTTTGTCGGAAAATACAATTTCTCAGTTTTTGTAAAAAGATAAAATTTATCTGTGCTAAATTTTTAAGTTATAATATGTTTATAATAACCAAAATTGAATTATTTAACTTCAACTAAATTGATATTTCAACAGTTCAAATAGAACTTTCTATTTAGTTCTAAAGTAATAGTAATGATTTTGATATGAATATTATTGATTATTGTTTGGTAGTTTTAGAAACATATGTCTATAATAAATATTTGATAAATAAATAAATTTTATAATTTAAAATAATCATATTAATTATTTTTTTTTAAATGGCAATTTGCTTTATATAAGTTCAAAGGAGGATCAAGTAGCAATTTAGTAGAGAAAATAAATTATATCTACCATTAGCTTGAAGGTACTTAAAAATGTATTGTTTTATTCTTACATATACATTTATAGATAGTTAGCTAAATAAATTTGATAGTAGATTATAATTTTGAAAAATAAAAAACTTAATGATATATAATGTTTATTCAGATTTAAAACATATAGATACATAACTTAAGCTAATAAAAAATAAATATAATACTTATTTAAAATATATAAATAATTTTATTATATTAAAAATATATACAAATCTAAAAAAATATCATGCAGCGTAGCGCGAGTAAATACCTAGTTCTACTAATATGGTTTGCCGAACCATTTTAGGAAAATAAAGATATTAACAAAAAAAACAATGTTATTAATACTCTCTTTGTTTCAAATTATAAGTTGTTTTAGATAGATGCAAAAATATTAAAAAATATATTTTTGTTTAAAAAGTATCTTTAAATATCATATTATTAATTAAAAAGCAAATTGAGCTGTGGTTGAGAGTTATGATGGTTGATTACTCTTTGCCCATTATATGAAAAGACTTTATTTACCTTTAATGAAATTAACAAATTAATATAATCTAATTTTTAAGTAATTTTCGTTTTTTAATCTAGATTTTCAAATTCGAATTTATATCATAAAAATATTTAGTTTACTAAAACAAGGTAACTAGCATAAATCACAAAAAACCGATCCTATTATTTTTTTAAACTAATTTTAGTTTGATTGTTTAACCTACTAATATTTTTGACTAACCTAATTGATTTATACGGCCACAAGTAAAATCCCAAAACCTTTAAACTTTTTTGAAACTCTGTATATATTAAAACAAAGTTTTCAAATCAATCTAGATCAATCGACGGCCGTATGTCTTTCTTTACAATTTTATTTTTAGATTTCTAATCTTTTTTTCAAAAAAACAGTCGTATAAGATTCGAAGTTACGGTTTTATAGAGAGTTTTGTTTGATGCAATAAAACAACAAAGCATACATATAAATTTTTATCAGATAATATAAAAGATTTTAAAAAATAAGATATATATGATATTTTGCTTTATCACAAAACTATACTCATAAAAATTATATTTTTTAAATATATTAATTTTGATTTCGAATAATTATAAAATCTTATTTTTTATCTATAAATAAACTAACATTGTTAGTTTTAAAAAGATTAATCGAACTTCGTACCTTGTGCGGGAAAACACCTAGTATTAGTTAAATATAAGTAAAGAAATTATAGAAGATTATAATTGGTTACACACTATCCAATACATATGAAGTTGTATAAAAATATGAGAACAGTTTTTATTTTGAGATAAACCAAAACCTCTAAAACAGCTTATATTATAAAACAGAGAAAATGTTTTTCAATGTCGTAAAATAAGTAGGGGTTATTGGTTCTTGTATTTTGGTGAATTTATAAATCTTCTTTGGATTTGATAAATTTATTGATTTCAAAATCAGCAAAATAGAAAAAACTCAAATCCACTCAAATACCAAGGTTAGACCTTGTATTTGGGTCTTTGTATTTTAGTCATGAAAATCTTTCCAAATCCATTCAAATTCAATTAAAATTCAAATCCTTATAATATTTAGATTCTAAAATGATAGAACCAATAACATTGTATTTCATTATGGATTTTAAAATCATAGAACCAATAACACTGTATTTCAATATAAATTTTAAAATACAAGAACCAATAACACTGAATTTGATTTGGATTCTCAAATCCATTAAAATACAAGAACCAATAACACCTCCTAATTAAAAAAACATATATTATGAGAAATCTAAACTATGAATTGTAATGAACAAACCTATCAATTTGGGTTCACCCTTATTGAAAACCGCTTTCTCATGTCTCCTTCGAGATGTAGGATCTTCTCGTGGTGGTCTCCTCTCCTTTGCAGCTTCCAAATCCAGCGTTAGCGACTTCTGCCCATACTTAGCAACTGCCTAGATATGATGTAACCCGATATTAAGATTAATATTTGCACTAATAAAAACCTTTGTAAAGTACAGGTCATTCTAGCTATTTTCCCAAAATATCAATTTTTTTCCTACAATAGTTATCAAATCGAAAAAATCAAATCGAATGTCTGTCGGCATATCCCAAAATTCATAGAATATGTAACATATGTCTTCTTCTAGTACTAGACTACTACTTGTCCTGATCAGAAACGCTTGAAAACGATTTTACAACTTTTTTCAAATAGAAACAAAATAAAATTATGATATATGACTTACCATCTGTTCTGGCGTTATGGCTCCCATTGTTTCAATATTTTTCTAGAATCACAGACAGAATTATGACCCTCTGTTATTTTTGTTATATAAAAAATTTAGTAACTCTGAATGGGAAAATCAACACATAATGAACATAACCACCTCGACTGTGTTGTTATTATCCCTTCTGTTTTATAAAATGTGTTATTCTACCCTGTTTTTTTTATACATGTTCATATCATAAATTCTATTTTATTCCTTATTAATACACAAAACAATTTTTTTCGAATTGATACATTAAGTCATTAATATAACAAAGTTAAAATTGAATATTTGTTTAAATTTTAAATTGCAATTAAAATGGTACTTTTTTGTAAAACTAAAATAAAAATGTTATTCTTTTCAAAACGAAGATAGTACATAGACTGATTTTTTTTTAATTTTAGTTATTGGAATTCTACCCATGTATGGAATATTTATTTCTCTTGACTTTGTATAGAAAGATAATTAAGGTGAGGAAAAAATAATCTGTTCTAGGAAACATTTAAGAAATTTTAATGAAATATTTATAATTAAAACTATTTTCAACTAAATGTTTAATTTCATTTTTAATCCGTAAATTATTCTGAATGAGAAGCTTTTAATTTTTATCTTCCCAAACATTTAGATACATATTTCTTACAGAAAAAAATATAAACTCACAAAAGTTTTACACTTTCACTTAGCTAGTTGTATCTAGTACTTCAAAACCGATTTAACAAGTTCTCTAATCTCATGTATCCAATTTTAATATAATATCTATAGAGAAATGTTCTAAGAATTTAGAGAAATGTAGGGTTTAAATGGTATACAGTTTTTTCACGTTTTCAAGTTTTGGAAACTTGATTCTGTTATTTTTTACTATTCATGTTATTCATTACGTTTTCATGTTTGTCATGTTTCTAAAACGTGATTCCGCTAGCATGTTAAAAATATGACTAGAAAAAATAAAATATGGTTAGTCTACTAAAAGTAGCTTTTCAGCGTTATACAATTATTAGCCAAAATATTAGTCAGTTCAGTTCGTTCCGCTAATAATTTTTTACTTATTCCGCTATTCTGTTATTCATCTGACATACCAATTAGATGTGTAGTTTTATTTTTATTTTTTTATCACCAGTTGAAATAGTGAAATTCCTCTGAAAAACCTTGTTTTGGCAGCAATTTTGTATTTTTTTCATTTTTAAAAAAATATAGAAAAGAATGTCGATGTGTTAATATATTTTTTAAGAAGGAACGATTGATATGTTTATTATTTTTATGTATAGGCAAACATGCATATTTTTTTTATTTAGAATAACAAAGCCAAAAAAGTTTTAAATTTTTTGTTAAAGAATTTAATTTAAAAAAAAATATTTTAGAAACTATTTTATAAAATCAACTGAATGAAATAAACATGTGTAAGAAAATAAATTAGCTAAAATAATTGTCAAAAACTAAATTAGCTCGAATATATATGTGCTAAGCAAATCATGACAAAATTTGTAAACTAAAAGATAAAAAGATTTTAGTTTTTAATTTAGCATGTCCATATCAAAATTTGTACTCAAATAATAGTTTGGTATGTTCGTATTAATTAGATAATTCCGATTTTTTTTCTATGATTTCTTTTGTTATTCAACTAGACATAATTTAAAATTTTCACTTTGTAAACTAATCTATCAGATTACAACTTAAATCAGATTCAGCTATTACTGTTTACATCTTATAAAACTGGTTTGGTTATTGATTATAGCGAAAACAAGAAACAACTTAGCTAGTGGTAAAGTGGATTGTCGTATTTGCACGGGGAAGACGACATGAGTATATTCTCCAACGAAAACGAAAAGATAACACAGTCGCACCAAAAGTTGAATTAATTATAACAAAGCGAGAATATTTTAACCCAGTCGTCATTATTTGGTTTACTTCATTTGATCTAAGTCAAAACAAATATCACTTCATTTATTATACATGTCCATCGTCGAAAACGACAATGATACTTTATCAATATTCTTAGCCAATTATAATTTATTATTCGATCTGTTCAAATTTTGGTAAACTTTATGGTTATAAACTTATAATATTTGAATACTTTATAGTTTATAGTTTTCTTTCTACAATAACAAAATGTTATTAAACTCCAAAAAATCTAGACGTGATATCATAGTACATAAAGACATGTTAACAAACTTTATTCGAACGTTTATTATATGCAAGTAATATATGTATATATATTTTTTATTATCTTGTGTATGTGTATGTTTACGTGTATATACAATCAAACAGATAAATGAAGAAGAGGGTCTAAAGACGAAGGAGACGAAGAAGATTGATCAGTGAAACTACTCCAAAGATCCACATTATCATCATTATTCCAATGAAGATCCCATCGTTGCATCAGTTTATCACCATCTTCTTCTTCTTCTTCATCAAAACTGGTACGATCACACGGATGATGATGACCATTGTTCAATTGCCACGCCACAAGCCGGTCAAGACTAGCCCAGTTACTGCAAACCGGTCTACCGATTATCTTTTCTTGAACCGGAGAGGAATCAACTTGGTTCGGAATCATGAAACGTTGGTCGACCGGGTTTTCGGATTTGGGTGTCTCAAGACCAGGGAGTTGCATGAACAAGACATCGTCTTGATGATGATGTTGAGTTTTGATCGTCGTTTGGCTTTCGGGCATGCAAATGTTAGAACCGGTACGGTCCATGTATAGAAGAACGTGGTCTAACACGGTGCCGTTTTGAGTGTTGTGAAATGTGGTGGGCCTTTTATTTTCTTCCGTGTCGTCAGGTGAAGAAGATAGAGTGATTTTAGGACAATCGTCGATCTTTTGATAGTTCTTCTTTCTGAACACTCGACATACCACCCAACCTTCTTCGTTATAGCTCATCGGATCTTCAGGCACAACATCAAAAGAGCCCTGACATTGTACAAATCAGATCTTATATAGTGCAAAATAAGATATGATGAAAGACTTTTTCGTTGCAACTGAGACTTTTATTTCGTTTTCTTTCGGTAAAATGCCACAATTGATAGACGTTGTTCGTTCAACACTTGTTTGGTGCATAATACACATCGAAACAATGATCAAGCCGTGCGTATAATCAAATTTATAAAACATTTTTGTTTGGTAACCATTTCCATTGTAGAAGCTTAAAGGGATTTTTTTTTTAATTCTAACAAAATGGTTTTCTTCATACTTAGATATTTATTAAAGTTTAAAACGAAAGATTAACATATTGTTAAAGTAAGATATTTTTCAAAAATTCTATAAAACATTGTTTGTGAATATATATATTCTTTTTTTTTTTAACGTAGGCACTGCTATGACAATGAAGTTATGAACCAAGACTTTTATAACGTTTTTCCTAATATGTCTTAGTGAAAAGAATCTAGTGCGTACTACTCAATCTGTGTTTCTTCTAACCTAAAATGAATATTGACAACGATAGCTATATAGACTTACATTAGTCATTGTTGGAGTATCATCGAGGCGATACTCATGCATGATCCAATCGGATTTCTGACCATGAGGAGCTCTTCCTTTGTAGAACACGAGTGTCTTCCTCAATCCAATCCTCCGGACACAACTATAGATGATCTTGTCACGCCCAGTAGCTTTCCAGAATCCGGCGACTGTTGCCCGGTTTGTTCTTGTCCCCGTTGGATACTTCTTGTCCTTGTGGCTAAAGAAGTACCAGTCATTCTGTGGCGTCGAACCGATTCTACATTCCTCTGCATTTGCTTACCAAAATGGTTCAAAAATAAAGACTTGGTAGAAATGAAGAAAGCCAGCAATAAGAGAGAGTTTTTCATATTATGGTTTATTGTTTGAGGAACCTTGAATATCCCAAGGCTCAAGCTTGTTGAGATCTACTTCACGAATGACATCAAGATCGATCTTTTGAGAGTGAACTTTTTTACGAAGATAGTAATGGAGAAGTTCTTCCTCGGTGGGATGAAATCTGAAACCTGGAGGCACTTTTGATTGTCCATTGATAGACAGATTTACCTTGTTCTCCGCCATTGATGATGATAACGATATCTTTTTGGTTTCTTGCTCTAGCAGAGTAGAGAAGTTGTATGATTACAAGTGGAAATGGTTACAACTTGGAATGAGAAAGCAGGCGACGAGAGGTGATTTATAATGGTGGTGGGACTAAATGACACATAGCCCCGAAAAAGGGGGAAATTATTATTTAAATAAAGATGTGGAAAATTATCATCCATTAAAGTATCTTTATCGAAATAAATAATTTATTTCAAATGTGTTCTATGTTTAAATCGAAGTTGATTATGTGCAGGTTCTGACGTAAGTCATATTTCTTTTGACGTCTCAAAACCTTAAAGAAATTCTAAAATAATATATTCTTTTTTTTGCAATCAAACTCATAAAAGTATCTAAAAGCTATATTAATATCTCGTTGCAACAACAAAAAAAGTCTGTTTTTAATCTTATTCTTTCGTAGATGTTTTTCTTTTGACAGTCGATCCCAAACTTCATGAATCTCTTTGATTCAGGTTGAAATCACCTTATGAGTATCTTCAATAATATTTTTAATTATAATAGTAGCCACATAATTCCAAAACTAGAACAGTGTAGTCCAATTATCTTCTTCACCACTGGATTTCATTGCTTCACTTTTGATAACACCAATGAAATCACTCAAAGTTATCTTGCATATTGTCTTGTAAATATCCTTTCCGATCATAAAATCGATCGGATTGACAATTACCACGTCTTCTCTGTATCTATTATAGTTTCGAAGACCAAAAACTTCCTTGTATTTTAACGTACAACTCTTTTATATGAAGTAACCAAATATTCATTTATTTGATAATATCATTAGAGCGACCTACTAAACGAGAAATCATCCCGACTTTAACACCAAATAATAATGTAGTGAAAACGTTGATAATCCTAGTTTTATTGTTGAATTCTTAGATATTAGTCGACAGTATTATTTTTGAATTCTTAGATATTAGTCGACCGTATTATTTTTGAATTCTTAGATGTTACAAAAAAATATTTTTTCAATGTATAGTTGAATCGCGAAAATAGATATTATAAAAATAAGAGAGATAAAAGGAGAAATACTCAATTTCACTAAGAAGGTTATAAACTGAATAAAATTTAGGCATAGTAAAACTCTAGTATAACATTAAAAATTTATAACAATATTATCTAAATGATAAAATGGATTATTATATTTAAAATTTTTTCAAGCACATAGCTGAATCAAAACATCACAAAATTTCAGAATCTAAGATTTTTAGTTGTAATATTTTGTGTTAGTTGACACTTAATTTGCATTATAAAACAATGGGTAACAAACCAAAAAAACTTGCGATGCCACAAATTCCTAGTATCTTTCTGGTGTAATTAAGTGATAAAAATGTGATAAAGTCAAAGAAAGACAAGGAGAGGAGAGCAAAGGGACATGCTTTTTTCAAAAAAGTGTGACACTTCACCTTCATTACATCATCTTCATCTCTGCCCATTCCCTAATGTATGTCTATATCAAGCTAGGCACCTAAAATCAGAACTAGTTAAACACTTCAGAGTTAAGACAATCAAATTTCCATCACTTTAACACACATCGACCAATATTAAAATACAATATCCTCCTCCAGTTTATGTTCCAAAGTCCAAACCATTATGCTCCGCATGTAGCTCGTTTGATTGAAAAAAATATATACAGTAATAATCAATCACGTCCGTTTACTGTTCTTACTACCACTTTTTTAAATATTTACTGACAATTTGTTTCCTGAAATTTGAACACAAATGATGCCTTTATATATTGAAATAGCTAAAAAGAAATTAAGATAGAGAGTAGGAAAGTGGCAGTGACAGGTTGGAATATCCACTCCCAACTAAAAAGGCGATGGTTGGATTATGTACCCACATTATCAAATTAATTAGCAACTTTTATTTGCGCAAATATATGAATATGTTCAACATTTTTAACCAAAAATTATATATTATTCAATTATTCCCTTCATTATGGGAATTAGCATACGGAAATAATATGATAAATGATGGAAGAATGGCATTTTAATCGTTTTCTTATTATAAAACTGTATATTCATTAAAGTTGTTACCCTACAAACACTGTTCTTATCATTTGTCTGTTGATGTGATATATGTGTTTCAACATTAATAATGATGTTTTATTTCTCTAAATTCTATGCTTAATCATGCTTTTGGGTAGAAAATTGATGGATTAACTAATATCACATAATGATTAACCACATTTGACCTCTCGATCTTCACTTTTTCCATTTCTTTATTCTAATTTTAATTGAGTTGAATGTGAGGTTTCACCTCCTAATTTGTTCCCATACTAACATTGATCGGTCATTTGGTCATTCTCTCATTTGTTAAATCACTTCCTTCTCATGTTCACTTGAATGTTAGTATTTGAAAAAATTAGCTTCACAGAACAAAAATATCACAATATTTTTTACACAACGAGAACATAATTTAAGATTCAAGATGCAAGATTGAAGTTATACAATAATATTGACAAATGACAACGGAAAGAAAAACTGTTACAACTGGTTCTGGTTCTCGGTTAACCGGTTTGGTTCGTATGGTTTTGAGTTGGATGAGAAAAAGTGTGCTCATTAAACAAAAAGATACAAACCAGGTGATTTCAATCATGCATGGCCACTGTGGTCTGTGGATACCTCAAATAAGAAGAATAACAGGCTATTGTTCTACATACTTTTTTTTTGTTGGAACTCAATTTTAACATATGCCGTACTATATATCGAGGGATAACTTCCGATAAATTATGTTGACAAAAAGGAATACAATCAATACAATAATAACACATGTGTTTTTCCAGGAGATGACACATCAGCTTTTTCAAGCTTTAAAGTTGACACCTCAGCAAAAAAAAACATCAATCAAAATATTTTATTAATCATCTACTAATTTTTATTATTTCTAACTTAAACCCATTAAAAGCTCAAATATTTTTTTTGTCAATCTTTGTTTTTTTTTTTTGCCAAATTTAATGCCAAATAATAAATAACAGCAAATAAAAAAATTGTTTTATTTTTTACCATCTCCAAATCCAAATAATAAATAACAAAAAATAAAAAATTAAATCTTTGTTTTATATTTTTGCCAAATGGAAATTCAAATAATAAATAACAGGAAAAAATTAAAATTTCTAACTATGTGTTTGCTTGATAGAGACATATATAATTGAAGAAAATATAGTTTCATCATCAACTATGATTCCATAACAACAACGCAAAAACTGTTATGTTATAAGAAACTCACACATCAGCAAAAATTTGAACTAATAAAAATATAACAATAATACATATCATTAACACACTAATAAAATCAGTTTACTATTTTGCTGATCCATTAAAAAGTCCAAAGTTTACAAAAAAAATAAAAGTCGCAAGCAAATGAGGAGAAGCTCAGACTACCACACCTTGGAGATTCGCATTTCTGTTGGTTACCGAGAACAAATTTTCTTGGGTTTGGCGAGAATAGATAATTTCTTGGTTTCAGTAGGAAAATGTAATTTTCAGTTTTGGTAGGAAAACATGATTTCTCGGTTGTGGCGAAAAAAACGAATTCTCGAGTTTGGCGGAAAAATGTGGATTTTTGGTTTTGGTGAGAAAAAAAATTTTGATTTTGACCCGAAAACAAAATATCTTAGTATTGACGAGAAAATGCGAAGGAAATGCAACTTTTCAATTTTGACGAAAAATATGATTTTTCGGTTTTGATAGGAAATGCAAATTTTCGGCTTTTGATGAATAATGTGATTTATTGATTTTTTTGGGAAAATATGATTTCTTAGTTTTCGCGGAAAATTGTAATTTGACAATTTTAGAGGAAAATGCAATTTCTCGCTTTGATGGGAAAACAAAATTTCTCGATTTTGGCGAGAATAAACAATTTTTTGGTTTTGATTGGAAATGCAAATTTTCAGTTTTTGACATACAATGTGATTTTTTTGGTTTTCGCTGGAAATTGTAGTTTATCGGTTTTGGTAGGAATGCATGATTCTTGGTTTGACGAGATTTTTTTTTTTTTGACGGGAATAGACGATTTCTTGGTTTTTGTGGCAAAATATTTTTTCTGGGTTTTGGCGGGAAAATACGATTTTTTTGGTTTTTGCAGAAAGATGAATTTTTTTGTTTTGGTGTAAAAAACTTGATTTCTCTGTTTTGGCATGAAAACCCAGATTCTTGCGGAAAAATGTGATTTTTTGCTTTTGCGGGAAAATGCAATTTCTTTGTTTTGGTAGGAAAATGAAATTTCAGGTTTGACGAGAAAATGAATTTTTTTTTTGTTTTGGCGGGAATATGCGATTTCTCAGTTTCGTGGGAAAATGAAATTTTTTTTCTTTGTCGGAAAATGCAAATTCTCAGTTTTTGTAATAAGATAAAATTTCTCTGTGCTAAATTTTAAAGTTAAAAAATGTTTATAGTAACCAAAATTGAATTATTTAACTTCTACTAAATTGATATTTCAACAGTTCAAACATAACTTTCTATTTAGTTCTAAAGCAACGGCAATAATTTTGATATATATGGTATTTATTAGTTTAGTAGTTTTAGAAACATATGTTTATAATAAATATTTGATAAATAAATAAATTTTATAATTCAAAATAATTATATTGACTAATAAAAAAAATTTGAATGACAATTTGTTTTATATAATTTCAAAAGAGGATCAAGTGGCAATTTAATGGAGAAAACAAAATTATATTTGCTATTAGCATGAAGATATTTAAAAATGTATTGTCTTATTCTTACATATACATTTATAGATAGTTAGCTAAACAAATTTGATAGTAGATTATAATTTTAAAAAATAAAAAAATTAAGGATATATAATGCTTATTCAGATTTAAAACATATAAATACATAACTTAAGCTAACAAAAAATAAATATAATACTCATTTACATTATAAAAATAATTTTATTATATTAAAAATATATACAAAATCTAAATAATATCCCGCAGCGTAGCGCGAGTAAATACCTAGTTAGTACTATAATGAATTGTATTCATATATAAATATTGATGTATATTTGAATGAAAAATAAAAACCCAAATTTTGTTGTTTTAAAGACATAAAATGGAAAGTGGATTTTGTCCTATATTGAAAATTTGGAAAAACATGTTACTAGTATATAAAGTGGAGAAATGTTAATAAAGTTTCAAAATTGAAAGAAAATTATATGGTCAGAAGAGAAAACTCATGCTAAATCACAATAAACGCTTTGAGCCAAGTCAGTTGTAACATATCAAATATAGATTTAAATTTTGATATAAGTTTAGATAGACGTTTTCGTCCAATTAATAACCTGACATCAAGTTATGGTTTAAAATTGTTCACTACAAATATATAAACTTGGTCAAAAAGTAAATTAGAAAATTAATTTAAAGATTAGTGTCCAACTTTATAACCATAAAAAATCACTCTAATGGTTCTTTCTAACTTGTAAAAATACCAAGGCTGATGAAATTCCTTTGTGGTTTGTCATTATCACTTTGGACAACTCTTTACTTTATTTTAGTTTTTTTAGTCAGTTGGAACATATCAAATATAGATTCAAATTTTGATTTATGTTCAGATAGACGGATTTTTCGTCCCATAACCTGACATCAAGTTATGGTTTTAAATTATTCACTACATATATATAAACTTGGTCAAAAAGTAAATTAGTCAATTCATTTAAAGATTAGTGTCCAACTTAATAACCATAATAAAATCACTATAATCGTTCCTTGAAAGAGCTAACTAGTTAATAAAAATCAAGGCTGTTAAAATTCCTTTGTGGTTTGTCATTATCATGTTGGACAACAATCTCTTTACTTTATTTTAGTTTTTTTTAACATTTTTTTTTTACTTCAAAAACTCCATGTATTAAAAAATCAAATTCTAAAGATGTTGGACACAGGAGCCAGCCACTCTGGAAGCATTGAGTTTACATGAGAAAATACTAAATCATGGGTTTGAATGCTTTTAGCAAAACGATCAGCCCGGATATTAAGAGAATGTGGGGTAAAGATTGTTGAAAAATTATGAAAATTGAAACGCAGAAACGCTAATTCTTCAAGCTCCGTTACTAGTGCCGGCCATTTTTCTTCCTCTTCTATCAAGTTTACCAACTGTAAACAGTCCACTCAATTACCAAACCAAAAATCTGCAAAGGTGATGTTAAGGTTTTTAAGCTTTAACTCAATCCTCAAACACACATGTCATTGTAGTACTTGAGGTGTCAATCCAATCCAAAGACTAAGAAACAATCAAGATGCAGAAGACTTGCTAAGCTAGGACTAATCAAAAGAAGGGGAGACTGATCTAACAACCTAAAACAAGAAATGCAAACTTGAAAACAGAGATTCAAGACTAATGAATAACAAGGTGAATCTAAAAATATGATCAAGGTGAAAGAAACAATCAATGCATTAATCTATAGGCAAGGACTACTGATATAGACTAGCCCAATCCCTCAGCACTAATCTCTTATCTAATCACATATTCAAGATAAATCCCATTACTCAAACACATGATCATCAAGTATGAAGGCCAAAGTCCATAAAGCCAAAAAGCATGCTAGACATCTAGTTTCCTATGCTAGGTTTACTAATCTCTTGTGCAATATAACTAACATTAACTCACACTCTCATGCATAACCAATGCCTAAAGAAAAATTTCCCACCAATGTGGTGTTAAGTACTTAAGCACAAGCTATGCAAGACATGACATCAACCATAACTTCTTTCAAGCATTTCAGCAAACACCTTAAGTGCAATACTAGAAAGCCTAAGATCTACTTATCCTACAAAGAGGTACTAAGCATGAAGAATAGTCACACAAAAAGAGATAATCAAAGATCCAACATTCTAGCACCTTAACAATCATTAGAAACACTTTTGTTCTTCAAAAACCAAGAATCTCAAAAACTGAAGAACACAAATTCGAAAATAATAAAGGCAATAACAAATGGAAAACAAGACTAGAAGATGAAAGACTTAAGATTAAAAGATGAAAGAAAAAATAAAAAGTATATACAATGATCCAATCTCAACCCACAAAGATTTTGTTCTTGTTTTATGAAAAACCAAAGCAAAGCTTTGGGGAAGAGAAAGGATAAGAGAAAATAGATCTAGGTTTAGCTATTTATAGGGAACATTCCAAAAATAGCCTTAGGAAGCAAAAATAAAAAAATCAAAGATGGTCAAAGATGGTTCTCGGACCAAAACATATAGATCAGAAGGAAGGGAGTGATGCTCAATGTAGGTGATTGATAGGAACTTATGGTTCCGGACAGTGATGCTTGAACGGCTGTATCTTTTGAACTACTGATCGGATTGACCTGGTTCAACCTCCGTTGGAAACTATATTCGATCCTCTACAACTTCTATGAAGGACGTGGAGGCTGAATCGCAACGGAAGACCTTCGTTTTGACCCATACATTTTATATCAATCTGCATATCAGACATAATTCTCTCAGCTTTGGTCGATACAGGACTTTGGTGCAGCCTAAAACCCGTCATCTTGACTATTATACTTGGTTCTTCATGTCCTCATCTTTCATTATTCTCCAAATGCATTCTTTGCTCTATTTAGACATGAAAAAGACTCCAAACAATGCAAAACATGCAAATGTCTAACCTAAAATCTATTATGTCTAATATAAATGCAAATGTAACAAAATATGATGAAATGAATGCATGAAAGAGACCAAAAACTAAACTAAATGCGAGCTAAAACATGGTAAATTATGAGGATATCAAAAGGAATCAATACTCTCATAGCCCATAAGAGTGCTTCGAATTTAGTATGTATTGGTGAGAGAGTCTGCTCTATCACTATCCCATATAAGTGGTTTCCATCTGCCAAATCTAGTATGAAACCCCCGCATGTTGTGTGCACATCCTTTACACAGGAGGCATCTACTTGGCAACGCGGCTTCAAATTTAGTATGTATTGATGAGAGAGTCTGCTCTATCGCTGTTATCCCCTATAAATGGTTTCCATTTGCCAAATCCAATATAAAACTCCTGCATGTTGTGTGCACATCCTTTACCCAAGAGGTATCTACTTGGCAACACAGAACTCTATCCGCCATCGGCATAACACAAACAGTTTTAAAAGTTCATGATCTTGAATGATACAGATATAAGAGCAATGCAATTGTATTATGTGATTCGGAACACCATAATAGTAATATTACAATATATTTTTGAAATTTTTTTTTTGACTATGCAACAGATTATTCTTTATATTTAATCTATTAATATTATTTTAAACGGTTATCAGTTTATATATGTATTTTACTTTGCAAATAACGGTTTATCGATTTTGTAGAATTAGCGTTCTTCAGTTTGAATTTGGATTGGATTTCTTCAGTTTTATATATAATTAAATTTGTAAAGAATTCTTATACATTATTTCCTTTCAATCCATCAGTCGCACCAAATCCAATAAATACATCTGAATGCGATAAACTTATGGTTATAGTTGCATTTGGTGTGAGTGGTGAGGTAGAAAGAGACTTTTTTTTTTTTGTTCAATTTAGGTAGAAAGAGACTACTATAAGGTTTTAAATGATTAACTACTTAGTGATTAAATTAATTAGCCATAGTCAAAATAATTAATAAGTGAAACTGCATTTGGTTGGTTTGGTGAAGCAGAGGAAAGTTTGCATGTCAAGCAATTCCGACAAGAGTCTGTTGTCATGTAAACCCATGCTCATACTGACGTAATTACCCACTTTCTGATTTATTTGAACTACGTAGCTATTCGAATATTTTATATACATATCATGCACACTACGAGCCACGAACTAAATTCCATTTCAGCTCTACGACAAAATAATAAGACTACATAGAATATTGTGAGTTTTAGATTTTAGTAGAAAGAGACATCCACATGTAGTTGCAACGTATGACTTATATGAGTAATCAAATTCTTTGACTTATATGTTAGACTATATACATGTGGATTGAATATCAGTATTTTGTGGTCAGTTATAACTCAAGATTCTTTTGAACGCTACGTAACACAATCGATTGAAAAATTATAATAGATATGAAATCACTAGATCATTTGAGACCAATAAAAAAATCAAAGAATCCTTGACCTTGAGCACAAATAATGGTTAATCATCGTGTTATTGATGATGGTATATATAATATTTTATGGTTAAGATAATAACAATATATAATTAAGTAAACTTTGTGAATTATGTATAATCATTTCTTGAGAAATTTGGAGATTTGAAGAACACATCGAAGAGATTTTCCATCACGAAGCAGCTGAAACGCATCGTTTATCTTCTCAAAGGGAAGCTCATTAGTAATAAAAGGTTCCAATTTGACAACCTGCAAATGAAATATTTCAGTTATAATTTCACCAAAACTGAAACTAATTAGATTTAAATTGTTTCTCAGAGATGATAAAAAGATTCAGACCCCTTTCATGCATTGTTGGGCGAAATTTGGAAGCTGAGATTTGGCCTTGAAGCCGCCGAAAACTGAACCGGTAATTTTACGGCCGTCAAAAAGCTCCATTGGATGAAGAGGCAATGTTGTTGGCGTCAGATATATCCCAACAAGCACAGTCGATCCCCAACCCTATCATCGAATAAATAAATTTCACACTTACTTGTTTCACAAGTATCTTGTTTCACAAGTATCTTGTTTCACAAGTATCTTGTTTCACAAGTATCTTGTTTATCATGTAAACAATTTAATCTTACCGGGCGAGTAGATAAAAAGGCTTCGCGAAGAACATCAACGTTTCCTGTGCATTCGAAGCTATAGTCCACGCCTCCTCCTGTTAGTTCTCGTATCCTCTATTTTTTTTTTTTTTTGTATATTGATTCATCACAATGGTTAAAATCAATTAATGCTAAGTTAATATATAATTATTGATTATTTCTTGTGTTATGAAACTGATAGTACCTCATGTACTGGCTTCGTTAAGTCTTTAGGGTTTACAAAGTCTGTTACTCCCATCAGCTTACCTGTGATATTTGGTCGGAATGTGTATATATGGTGATGGTTAAAGCAAGAAAAAACCCAAATCAAAACTACTAAATAAAAAAAAAAAGATTAGAAGAAAAACACACCTTTCTCAAATTTGGAATCATTAGCATCAACACCAATGATCCTAGAGGCTCCTCTTGCTCTTGCACCTTCAGCGACCTTCACATTCATACAATATATAAAATGATTTTGACTTTGTAATATCTAAATAAAATTTTAACTGATAAATTAGGATGCGAGAATAAATATAATCTTACAGCGAGTCCAACCGCACCCAGTCCAAAGACAGCAGTGGTCGTTCCTTCCTTCACATTGGCACTGTTCCAAGCTGCTCCAACACCTAATACCCAAAAACGACGTCGTGGCTTTAACAAGGATAAACATACATATGTACCTCATGTGACTGTTATTGAGAAGTTGTATGCTTACCATTTGAAAATATAAAAAACTATACTTCCGACCAAAAAAAATAGTATAAAAAACTATACTTGAAGTGGTCAAAGGAACACGAGGCAACAATAAATAACGTTATAAATCTACTTTAATAAATAAATAAATCAAAGTTTCTACATGATAAATAGGTAGTAGGTACCATGTGAATGTGATTTATTTAAAATCCAAATTTATTTTGAAAGAGACAAAGAGAATTAACTGCGTTTGGAAAAGAAAAATAAATGGTGTTTTCGAAACCAAGGTCCAATCTCCTCCTCCTTTGTTCCCTAGCTACTCCCTAAAACTCACTATATATTAGCTTCCAAAAAGGAGATAACAATACCATTTCTACTAAAAAATCTCCAAGAAAAAAAAAGATGAAAAGGATTCCTCAACAGTAAATCAGTATGAACTAACCAGTGGAGACACCACAGCTCAAGAGGCTCATTTGCTTGAGAGGAGCATTGGGATCGATCTTGACGAGGCAAGCCGAGTCCAAGACAGTGTATTCGGTAAACGTGGAGGTGTTAAGGAAGTGATAGATGCGTTGGCTCTGGCTAGAACCACCGTCTTTGTTTGTAGTTGTTGAGAATCTCGTCCCTCCATCATTAACCATCAAACTCTTCATTGGATCCACTTTATATCTCTCACAGAGATTACTCTCTGTTTTACACACTACACATTCACCACATTCTCCATTGAAAGTCGGAATCACATAGTCTCCTTCTTCCACATCTTTAACTCCTTCTCCTACACTTTCCACAACCCTATTACATCCCCAAAACATAGATTAGTTAGCGTCACAAGGTAGGTTTTAAAGGGTATGAATTGGTATATATATATATATATACCCGACTGCTTCGTGGCCAAGAATCCTTGGAAATGCTCGTCCAGCTTCGTTCTTTTTTTATACAAATGTGATTATATAATTAAGATTACAATATGTTAAATCAAGAAGAATGATTTGAATATAGGTGTGCATGCATTACCACGCCGGCCCAAGCTCCAAGATCGGTGTGGCAAATGGAAGTGTAAAGGATTTTAACTCGGACTTCCATTTTCTGAGGAGGATCTACGCATATTTCTTGAATTACAAGCGGCTCTTTTGGACCCCATGCTACAGCAGCTACATACATATATATCATTGTTATCATAATCATTATCATCACCATGATAATAAGAAACAATCACATTGGTGAGAAATTTATGTACCTTTGCAAGTGATGACTTTCCCTTGAGTCTCTGCCATGTTCTTGATGTGTTTTGTAAATTGGATTTGTCTTCTATGAACGTAGCTCTACATCTATATATACGCAGTATTGGGATGTATATTTGTCTAAATATAGAGAGGCTCGATGTTGAATCACGTGTATAAATATCCATATCGAGTCAATAATCCCGAGAGGTGTGGGTTTGATAATAATTGATATCAACAATCTCTAAACGTAAAGTATTGCTAGTCTCAATCCCATTCAATCTCCGGTTAGACCGGAATAGTACATGATGTCTTACTTTTGTCTGTGTTCCAACTAACTAATATTTCATGCAAAGATTTAAACAATTTGTCTTCACATGAGACTTGTGAACTCGTTTTTCTTTTATTTTCCTTTATAATCTCATATTCAAATTTATGTACTTTGTTCTAATAAGTTGTTTGTGTTCAAACGTAAATGAAACTATATAGATTTTTTAAAAATACATCGCAAATTGGATAATGTATGGTGGAGAATATAAGTGGTAGGTATGCCTAGGACAACTTTCGTTGATACTATTAAATGGCTTTTAATAGCATAGCAATCATACAGTCGTGTGATAGAAGTGACTATAAAAATTGATAGCTTAAAACTTTCATCTGAGAACAATTACTATCATGTGAGCTTTTAATTGTTGTACTATATGAAACTGAAACTAATAAATAATTAAATGAAATGATCTGAATAAAATTTGAAAAATAAAAGGTCTCTGTGTAGATGTGGAACAACGCATTTTGCGTGGTGATTCTAACTAACTGTAAGAGTAACGAGATTAATATGAGCCTTCAGGATTAAGCCAGGACTTCAGGACTTCTGAATACTGTGTTTTGGATCTTATGATTCGAGAATTTTGCGACTTTTTAACACGTGAAAATATCCAAAACAAAATACCTAATAAATGTTCGAGAATGATCGGTCCTTATCGTTGTGATATATATAGACTATCATCCTTTTTAAAAATGTCATCGTATTTATGACATTATCTTATTTAATTTTACATAATAACCAAACATTAGAAAACAAATATAAATCAATGAAGAATTTTTACTTTAGCTGAATGATATTAGTTTTATTATTAGGAGAAAAGTAAACTCAAATTGAATTTTTACCATGACCCGAGTGATTCCATATTTTATTATATATTATACAAAATACTGATGACTATAAGGAATATAAAGGAATACTAAATTCCTTTTCGTTCTTTAAAAATTACATCATTTAAAAGGAATATATTGTATCCATGATTCCTTCTCATTCCTTATGTTTTAGGGAACTATAATGTTAATATATTCCTTATAAAAAATAAAAAGAAACAATAATTCCTATTATTTTATTCATTTCATTCATTTTCCTATTCATTTCTATTATTACTTTTATAGTTACCAGTTAGACTAGTCACCAGTTAAAGTCTAAGAAACTATTAATTCAATTTTGATATGTGACCATATGACCGGATGATTTCAGTGTTGATTTTCAACAAACTAAATTTTGAAGCAGGATAAAGGTAAATCAAATGCATCATGGAACAAAAATAATTAGAATTAGTTTTTTTTAACCAGGACCCAATCTATCGGGTAGAGTAATCTCGAAGGGTGCAAATTGTTATTACTAACGGAATTAGTACAATAAAGATCAGTTAAATAGAAATGATAGAAGAATGATTTTATTTTGTTTATTCTTCTTATAGTAAAACATTTTAAAAAAAAAAATAGGATGCAGTGATCACTAGAAGAATTAGTAGAATAGAGATTAGTAAAATAAAAATTAATGGAATAAAAATGATAGAGAAATAATTTTATTCCACTCAATCCTCTCATAAATAATAAAAGAATATATATATATATATATATATTTTTTTTTAACAAATTTAATTGTTTTTAGCAAATTTTTTTCAGTAGAATTAGTGTAATACAGTATTAAAAAGTAATTTTTGGAGTAATATCAAATTTCTCTAATTTGTTCCTCTAGTTGTGCAACCTAATTGTGCAACCATTTGCACCCGAAATATACAAACATTTTTTTTTTTTCGAAATATACAAACATTTGAGTAAACCGTTGAACCTGGACTGCATTTGGTATCGTCATGACGTCACAAATTCAGAAACCCACCAAACTTTATTTAATTTATTAATTTATTATTTCTCCGAATTTCCAATGTTGACTTTCAGAATTTAAGAACTGACAAAAAAAAAAAAAAAAACAGGACCAAGTAACTTGTCCATTTTCAACACGACAACTGCTTCTGTTCAAACAAAAGAACACCAAAACTGAAACACTTGTCATAAATCATTTTTATCTTTTTAACGTTATCGAAACAATTAACACGCGACTGTAAACTGTAAGAAAAAAAAAGTAAGCTTTTCAATAAACTAAACTCGTGAGGAAAGTGTTATTAGCTATGTTTAAAGCTCTTTTCTCTTAAAAAGAGTGACAACGAAAACTCTCTTCGAGGTTTTTTTTTTTCTTTCACCGAAATGATTCTCAGGCAAGAAGAAAAAAAAAAGTAACAGAAGAAGAAGAAGGCATCATCAGAGATCCCAAGAGTTACATTCCGAAAACAAGAGACCAGAGATGCAGACAAACAAACATCTTTACATGTCTGTGTATGCTGTTTCGCTCAAGAGAGAGACAGAGCGATACATATATATCTTATAAATATATATAGAAACATATGTGAAAGAGAAACCTGTAAGAGCTAAGATCAATGCATTGGATGCCTCGGTGATCTTGGACGAACAGGCGTCTTTGAAGGACTCACCCTGAGAAAACCAAAACAAAAGTCTCAGCAAAAGTCTTGAAGCTGAGTAATAATTTATAAGAGATTTGGTTCTGTTTCTCTGACCTTATCGGTAAAGAACCTAGAACAACTCCACTGCAGTTGAGAGCTGCTATCGCGCTTTCTGCCTGCGAAAGAAACAAAGAAAAGATTACTCACAAGATAATCGTTTCTGATCAACAAGACTCATCAAGAAAGCCTAGAACAGAGTATTGCTTACCATCACAAACTCTACAAAAGCAATTCGAGTAGAGTGTTGATAATCTCCAAGCAGCCTCAGACGGTAAACCTGTAAATAACAAACACTAAATAGTTTCTCACTATTTGCAACAAAAAGATAACTACAAGAAGATTTGCACACCTCTCCACAGAAGGATTCAAAGAAGATCTTCACGTCTGATTGAGTCACCTATAGCAAACACACAAAGCACAAAACGGTGTGAAAGGGAGATACTTTCCATCAGTTAAAGCTTATGAGTGAAGAGAAAGAAGTACACCTTCTTGTCTATGTTAGTGCAGTAGATAGTTCTTGCACACATCTCACGCTCATCTTCAGTCTGCAAACAACAATCACAAATCATTTTCCGAGTCTTCTTGGAACATCAAAGAGACTTTACATACAAGAAAATCTCATCTCACCCTAGGTAAGAAAGTTGGGTTAACCGGCGCAATAGCGGTTTTGGATGGCAGAACTTTCACAGGATAGAATCCCAACATAGTCCCGGATAGATTCAGAGCGGTCATCGCACCCTCTGAATTGCCAACACAACACGCTTAACCACCACAAGAACACTGATACTCTCAGAACCGAATACGAGTAATGAAACGGTACCTTCATCAGTGAACTCGATGAATGCAAACCGGAGGACTGAGTTTGGGTCACCACATATGCGGCAATCAACAACCTGCTTAAACCAAAACAGAGTCAAACAGAAGAAACACAAAGATGGAGTTTTATAGATGAGAAGCTTCAAGAAGATAATCTTTTTTTTTCCCAACCTGTCCACAGTTCACAAACAAACCAGCAAGCTGCTCTTCAGTGACCTATACACACACACACACACACACACACACACACACACACACACACACGCAACGAATAATTCAAAGATGAGAAAAGTCTTGAGATCAATCATGGATTGAGAGAGAAAAGGTGTGATTTTTTTCAACCTGTTGATCGAGATCAGAGACGTAGACGGTTCTTCTGATGACATCTTCTCGCTGAGCCATGCTTGTTCTAGCATTCATCCTCCGTTTCCCTTGACCAAAGCTCTTCTTCTACATCACACACACACACACACACACACAATCAAAACGAATGTTCAGGAAGCAAAAAAAAGGGTATCTTTTTTGAAGATCCGCAACGAAATTTGATTCGTAGCTTATCAATTCACCAAACAACAAAAAAGACAATTCTGTATAATTGAACTAACACAATCAAAAGATCGCAAAATTTGAAGAGATACAATTGAGGCAACATCTGTCTCTTACCCGTCGGAAACCGCCGTTTTCGTTACCATAGCCGTTGACGGGGCCATTTCCGGCACCACCGAAGCCATTGTTGCGGAAAAAGGAGCCAGCAGAGGTGAAGAAACCACCGTTAGCGCCGTTAAGTCCTCCGTTACCACCTCCTCCTTTAGTCAGCGACGGAGGAACAAACTCTTCCGCCATGGGATTGAGCTTAGAGAAAAGCTCCTGGAGCTCCCTCATGTCACGCTTGAAGCTCTCTCCACCGTCTACGCCGTCGGATCTCGCCGCGTGGGACCCGATCTTGCTGTAGAGACCACCCTGATCGTGCCGGAGAATCTGACCGTCAAGCTCGATCCTTGAGGAGTGATGGTTCTGATCATCGGACGATACGCCGGAATCTTGACTTGTCGGCGAAGAAGGCGGCTGGATCACGACTCCAGCATCAGCAGCAACTCCACTCTCAACAACCGCCATGATCGGAGAGGAAAAAGGAGAATTACCCAGAAATCAAAATCAGGAATTTTGAAGGAATTGGCGATCGGTTCAGGATTTGAGGAAGAAAAGGAGAGGAATCAGCATAAGGTGCTCTCTACAAGGAGGAGGAAGAAAAAAGGAGAGAGAGAGAGAGAGAGAGAGAGAGAGAGAGAGAGAGAGAGAAAATAAGAAAAGAGGATTAAGAATGATTAATCAGAGGATCGCTGTTAATAAATGGGATTGATGAGAGTGATTAAGTAAGGATTTGTTGAGAAACAGGAAATGAATTTTACTGGTTTGTTTTTTTACCGCTGTGAAATAATCAGGCGATTGGTGGATAATGTAGATTCCGACCGTACTAAAGAGAGAAAATCACGTTCACTGTGTCTGCTCTCTTTTTAAGTTTAGTTTCGGACCGAAGCTAGATCGTAGGGACTCAATCTACATACAATTATAGTATCATTGAGACGAAAAAAAAAAAAAATCTCTGAAATGATCGCTTTAAATAGAAGTTTTCACCGTAAATGTTGTTGATTGATTATCATCTTAACATTCTGATTTTCTTTTGAGTTTGGTAAAAAAGTATTGTTTCCATTTATTGTAAAAAGAAATTAAAGAAAAAAAATTGGATAAAATTTAA